ATGGTCTCTAGCCCATCATCCGATGTACATAATGTGAGTAACCCCCTCAAATTTCTGACCCGCGGACCTACCGTCGATAGTACATGACTGATCAGAAAATATTTCCAGAATTTTCAGAGGCAGGCCTATTCATTGAACCTCAGACACGCAGAAGACTAAGACAGCGTTCCCCGCATACCATCACCAGGCACCTGGAATGTATCGAATCACACGAGGAGTTGGGTCAAATGGACGTTTGCTCAAGAGAAACGCGATGGCAAAGTCAGTCGCTGAATATCGTGGAGGCAATTCTAGGTAATTATGTTCGACTCGAATGCAATGTGGTATGTTCTAGATTGTTTAAACTCCGGGACCCCCTTCGCTTTGTTGGAGACGGTGCTTCAGGTGCGGGATCTTGCCATAAACACCAAAGCTCGGGGGGATCTGAAACAGGTGTTTGTAAAAGCCCAACAAACGGACAAGGTAGAGTACGGGAGTCGCTCAATAATATAACACCAACCATGGTGACTGTGCATGCTCATCAAGGAGTCCAGTTCGAGTGCTCCAATGACACCGACAGAGCGCAGAGCAAGTGCCGGGTCAGTGCAACAATTCAGTTCCACAACTCATTCTCCGGAGATTCACTTCTCCACAATGGCGCGTTTTCTCAAGCAGCGAAACCTATCCAACACACGGCTATCTGGATCCGAACCTAGAGAAGATCCTGACATTGAGGCTCATTAATTCGGACGCTTGAAGAATGTAAAGGCGAATACCCCCTATGAAGGTGGACCCGACGGAACTGTCGAAGTGCACAAGGGGGCTCATGCAACCATCTGCAAAGCAGTTAGTGTAGGAAACGAAGTTGCCGTCAAAAAATGATAGAGTGAGTCGACCTTCATAACTCCGTCTGGTCCCCCCATCCCACTTAGGATCTACCGAGTAATATGCATACGCTTTCCTCCATTTAAGCTCAGACCTAACGGACCTTTGATAGCGCATCAACAGAGAGAGCAAAACCTTAATCGCCCCAATATCGTCACTTTCTTAAAAACAATGGAAAATTGAACAGGGCAAGATGCTGATTGTGTAAAAACAGTGCGTAATTCATGCGTGACCTCGCTTGTCCGCATCTAACTGTGGTCTCACCTTCGAGCACAAGTGACTCTGGTCCTGATGTCGCCATAGTCTTGGGATTGGTTTATCTCCACACTCGGGTGTCAGCCACGGAGAGCTAAAAGCTGTCAGTCAGATATAATTTAGCAATGGCATAAACAGCTTACACTTTTGGTAGAGCAATATCCTCATTGATGCAAACCTCAAGGTTCGTATCACGGAATTCGCTTTGGCATCAATCGCAGACATGCAGCCGGCCACCTTCGACGAGATGGTCTGCGCTCGAAGTGGTGTGACAGGGAGCTCAAGGAATCAGGCTCAGATATTTATTCATTCGCATGCACCGTCCCGGAGGTGTGATATGTAGCGTCCAGGTTCCACCTGTGTGATGCCTTCCAATCTCAGGGTTGATCCCACAGCGCGCCCGGAGAAACATTTATGCACAAGCTGCAAGCCGAGGAAGTGAACTCCAGAAACGCTATGAGCAAATGTACTGCGGCTCTATCCCACGGATCCCAACATGACGAAGAGTAAATTCATAACTCGGGTAATAACGGATCTGACCCATTCCAGGATCATGATCATCTGTACCGTCTCCAGCGTCTCATCCGCGAGAGCTTGGGACAGGGGCTTGGAAAGCCCTTCGTGAAAGTCAATCCCCTCATGTACGCTGCGGTGTAACGACGGGGTAGCCGAAGAGAGACTAATCATCGTCATCACCTGTGCGCCAGTAAATTGTTGCGATCGTGACAGCCGGTTCCGGTGTGCCAAAAGTTATGACGACGATCAAAGCTAAAACGCAGTGCGAAATGATGATCGTTTGGTGAGCGATGAACGCCCATGACTCACACACTTCGAAGACCCTGAATAGGTTCTATCAGTTTCAAGCAGCAGCCCAAACATTACAGGCACCACGGCATTCCAAAAGGAAATAAGCGGCAGGGCCAGCAAGCAGCCATGCACTCGAGCTGAGGGTTGTCGACCAAGAGCAACAAACCCGGAAGATGAGGGGATCAAGGATTCGACGCAATACGCCGGTAGAAATGGGCTAGTTAGGTAGCTTCCCCCAATAGCCTACACGCCTTGGGTGTCCCGATGCTGCGCTCGTACAACATGGGTAGCGCGCAGCCGAACAAGATAGCTGACACGAGGCACCTAATTTGATGAGCGCCGATTGGAGCTTGCGATTCGGAATTACATTCGCACCGGAAAATGCTACGCCAAGGTATAAAAACAAGAGATCGAGAATCCCAGCAACAGAAGTTGGTGACCTGCCTAAAATCAAACACAGGAATAAACCGAGACGCACGGACAGAGAGAGCTCGGTCCAAAACAGGAAACAAACGACAGCCATCGACCATTGACCGAAAATGCCGAATTCCACTCAATGGATCAAAAGGAGTCAGATGAAAACTGGTAGTTCCGCAACAACGAGGATAATTGTGTAGATAGCTTCCACGCAACGGATAAGGTGTCCCACAACAGACTTGCCAACTCATCGAGGAGTTTCCTCGTCCTGTGCTTTTCCCACTCCCATCATTCAATCCTTAATGTTTACGGATCGGTTTAAAATTGACGCTGGCCAATTGTAAGGGAAAGGAAAATGCTTCAATGCGTGAGGTGCCTACCGGCATGTGCCGGACCACAGTGCTCGAGGGTCGAAAAATTGAAGGATATGAAGGTATGGAAAGTTGGGTGTGTTTCGACCGCCCAAGTCAATGCGCACAGCGTGACCACGTGAGTCTCCGCGTTCCGTGAACGCCGTCATTCATAATACTCCCATGTTCGACCATTTCCTCCCTCAATGCATGCAGCCCAATCGAGGGCGCTACTTTAACTGGATACAAGTGCAACTGGAAGCGGGAGCGCTAGAGCTATATGCCGATTTCGTGTCGTGGCTACCATTCATCGCCCGGGTGTTCCGCCGTGCGCTTTGAAGCTCCATTATCGCGTGTCTGACACTCATTGCCTCCTATCGCACTGTCACATATGATCCAACATCCAATTTATTATTTTTGTTCATCTTACTACACACTTGGTGCTGCATATTGCCACATTGGCGCCTTGTGCCCCTTATCAACGCTCTGAGGAAGGCGCGCCAGCAATGGGCTTTTGTTCCACCCAATTGAATCAGCATAGCCATGAGGGTAGGCGCGGAGGATCAGCCCAATATCATCTATTTCAAGAGGCAGCCGAACAAACCCTAAGAGCGTTCTCTTAAATCCCCCATCCCTTCCGATTGTTAATCCAGCACCCATCTCCTTGTGATATCACCATGGCCGCTGAATTACGCTTGGGATGGCGGGTGCATCGCTCTTTGAAGCGGTCAAGACTATCTGGGAACTGACAGAGGTTCGCATCACACCCCAATGCTGCTCCATCGTTGTATCTTCGTGGGAGCAGACACAAATGGAGCCCAGGCGTTATCCGGCCCGACAATGCAGTGGCAGAATTCTGATTACAAAACTCGTGCTTTAGGATATCAAAGCGAACAAGCAATCTGCGATCAAATTAGCGTTGCAATGCCAAAGTTGCCAGACGGAACTCGTTAAGATTTTCAACGATGCGGAAATGAGCGGTCTGAAGCCGCACGATCCAATGTACACAGTGTGAGTAACGCTTGAAACCCATGACAACGGCATGGACCTGTTTGCGAACGTCGATGACTGATCAGTAAACCGTTCCTACGTCTACAGCGTTAAAACTTATACCCTAAATTTCCGGAGGCATGTACACTCCTTTGATCTCTGACACATGGAAGCCTAAGACAGCATTTCCCACCAGCCAGCTGGAAAGTATCAAGAGCCAAATGAGAGACTGGACGCGGATGGACCTTTGGGACCGTTTGCTCAAGAAGGACACAATGCTGAAGTCCATCATTGAACACCACAGACATATTGGAGAAATGTGGAGGGCTTTCCAGGTGATTATGTTTCGGGTTGAAGGTCGTCTAATATATCTGAGCTGCCAAAAACTCGCCACACTTTACTTCACTGCAGACGGCTCTTCAAATGCAGGGCCTTGCGGCAACCGTCAAAGTCTCTGATGCTCAAACCACCGTTGTAGAACGTGTAGATCTCTGGCGACGGGAACTTGCAGAGGCGCAACAAGCCGACAAGTATCAATACCGGGAGTTCCTCAACAACACAACACGGACCATTAATAAGATGGCGACTGTGCATGCTCAGCAAGAAGTCCAGTTCGAGAACTTGGGCGAAACCGTCCGAGAGCTTGCTGACTTGGTGCAGCAATTCAGATTGGTGTGTCCTCAAGTTGTCGATCAACTCATTCTCTAGAAAATTCACCTCCACGTCATATTGAACAGCAAAACTCATCCAGCACTCAGCTGTCTGAGTCAGACCCTGAAGCCGATCCTGACATTAAGGAGGCTCGTGGAAGATTGATTCGGGCGCTTGAAGAATACAAAGGGGAACATCCCCCCACGGGAATCGACCCATCGGAACTGACTGTTCCTGTGGAGGTGCACAGGGGCGACCATGCGACTATCTACAAAGGAGTCAGAGCTGGAGATGCAGTTGCGATTAAAAAAGTCAACATAATGGACAGCGATATGGTTGCGCAGTGAGTGGGCCTCCATAACTCCGTTTGTGGGACTTACACTCACGTAATAGGGTCTACCGGGTAATGAACCTGCCTTGTCCTACTTCGGCCCAAACCTAACAACCCGTTAATAGCGCATCAACAGAGAGAGCAAAATATGGCAAAAACTCAATCATCCTAATATCGTCACTTTCTTAGGCTGCAGTGGGCCTAAAAACGAGTTTCCTTTTATGATTAGCGAATGGATGCCGAAGGGAAACGCCAGGCTCTACGCTCGCAAACATAGAGAACGAAAGAAGAATGGAACAGGACAAGATGCCGATTGTGTAAAAATAGTGAGTGATTCAAGTGTGATTTCGTTTGCCCGCTCTGATGTGTGGCGTGATCTCACTACTAAAGTGGTATGTGTCCGAGTTGTCGAGCAGGGTGACTTTGGTCTTGATGTTCGCTGTAGTCTTGATGTTGCCGAGGGATTGGTTTATCTTCATTCTCAGGGGATCATCCACGGAGGGCTCAAAGCCGTCAGTCGCAGAGTTTCGCGCAATGGATAATGGTTTACGTCCTTTTTGTAGAGCAACATCCTCATCGATACAGACCACAAAGCTCGCATCACAGATTTCGCCTTGGCATCAATCGCAGCTGAGGTCCAGACAGGCAGCCGGCCACCTCCTATGAGATGGTCCGCTCCCGAAGTGTTGGAAGGCGAGCTTAAGGAACCAGGCGCAGATATCTACTCATTCGCATGTACCATCCTGGAGGTAAGCAGTGCCCAGTTCGGGGAAGATCAAGCTGACGCACTTTACAACTCAGATAATAACGGATGCTGACCCATTCCAGCGTCATACGCATTTGTATCGCCTCCATCGTCTCATCCGTGAGGGTCTTCGACCTGATTTTCCGGAGTCCCCAGTGGCTTGGGACAGGGGCTTGACAAACGCTTCGTGTCCACTTTGGCTCCTGATGCAAGCATGCTGGGCGCCGAGAGCCAATACAAGGCCAGATGCTGGTGAAGTGCGGGACAGGATGAGAGACATTTGGCAATCGAGAGGTGGCCAACCATACTGGAAATAACTATGGGGACGAAGACTCTAAAGCCACTTGCTGGTCTACAACAAATTCTGTGTTAGTAGGTTGCTGTGTATTGCGACGGTTGATTCCTGCATGCCAAAATCTACGGACGTTCTGACTGTAGTCTCAATGAATGCCATCAAAATCAAAAAAAAAAGAAATACGGCGCGAAGCGACGATCATTTGATGAGCATGTGGACAGCCATGACTACACATGCAATAGCAACGTATGGTGACAGTCTCTCCCCTGAAAATGGTGCGATAAGAAGGTGCGAGCATACTTCTACAACCCGAACACACCTATCCTCGCGCACTTCCAAAAAACGCCCAAAAACCTGAACAGTAAAACATGGATTAAGCCCGGGAACTTGGACACGTGTGAGAGATCGCCTTCGTACCCTTCCTTGTTCCTATCCGTCAAGCTTGGCATTACAGCACGCACGTATGTGCAGGTGCAAATCATGAGGAGAATTACGAGTAGGAGAGATTCGAAGTTGAACAGAGCGGACTACAGAAAACCCATCAAGCCCATGCTGCAAGCAAGCGAACAAGCACACACTATACCATTATGTATGGCTCAGCTAGTATAACGCTAGATATTAGGAAGAATCAAGGCGTGAGGCAGTAGGTGTGGCTGTTCAGCATCTCCACGTGCAACGCATACGCAATTCATTTCGATGAACCAAATCTTGACTTCAGCGTCAAAACATAAGCGCCATCGAGACTGGTATCTAAATAGCTGAACGTATCTCCGCTAAGACTTTAGCAAGAAAAATGGAATCGGATGGCGCAAGGACACAGCAGCCTCTATTTATACGCAGAACGCCGTCCAACCGCCTACTTTGGATCTATGTGTTTGTAGTCACTTCACCATGCCCCCGGGGCCGGGAGGGCTACAGAGATATTGATACAACATAATACACCAATTTTTGGGGTCAGTGCGTTGACGGAAACAAGCGTCATACAATTACCACCAAGTAATCTCGGCATTGCATCAAAGAAACCCCTCGGGTGTTTGTTCAGTGAACAACTAGCCCCTTCCCGAAGCACGCGCCCATTGTGAAGTTGGTTTGGCGAACCCCAAAATGTTTTGGCATGTATGGCTAAGCAACGTTATGTCGTGACTGCATACCTGCTGGTCGGTTCACAATCGTCCAATTTCCCTACACACAGTGGGCCGCTGAGTCAGGGATAAGTTGACAACAGGCCGCATGCTTGAATTAAGGGGAGCCCCCACGACGGCACAGCAACCAGCATCACATGCAAGGCGACTCAAATTCGAGTAGATAGGCCCTTCCAATAATACCCGACTTCAACTGTCAAAACGCCCCCCCTTGATTAAGAGTCACTGCCTTTGGTTGAGATAAGCGGCTGATAGACGATCATATTCCCTTTGTTGCCTGCCCACGACCCATGCGGCAGTTGGGCCACTACTGCGCAGGGAAAGGAGGCAACGCTCTAGACCCTACTAAAACTTAAGCCAATGACAGCAAGACCGCAAGATAGGTCTTCTAAGCGGCATCCACCCCCGCATCCCCGTGGCTGGACCCTGAACGACTCTATTGCCGTGTATGCAAGAACACCGTGAGCAGAGGAAATAGTCACACGTGACCAATTGTGTTTGCCTATTTTGCTTTCCTTCTCTCTTTTTACGGACCAACGAGGTCGATTTGTATGTCTTACCTTAGCTACAGGGTAGTGGAGTGGGCCAATTTATTCGTCTATTCGTCTATCGCTAGGCAGGTGACCAGCCTCTCTCTAAGGAAGGGATATTGCAATTGCCAGAAAAGGATTCTGGGCTGCTAGAGATATTGTGGCCCCCGTGTTATAACTAGGAAGTAAACAACTTCGTTGAACCCGCAACTTCCCGCTGCAGCTTCATCCATGGACAAAACACGAGTTTGGTTTATTACGGTACGAACGGCCACCCAAGCTGCCGTTCTGAATTCTGATCACCGATCCTGCCGTGTATCACGATGCGCCTCAATCTCTAAATGCAAAATTTCGTCCAATCACCCCCTTGATAGGGCTGCTCATCGGGTTTTGGGAGACGCATTGCCCACAGAGCTCTTGCGCTTGGCGACAAAGTGATAGCCACTGCACGTAGAGTTGAGCATCTCGATGGCCTCAAGGCCGCAGGAGCGACAGTTATGAGGCTTGACGTAACCGATCCGATGGATGTCATTAACAAAGTAGCGGAGGATGCGGAGGCCGTCTACAAACGTGTGGACATAGTTGTGAACAATGCGGGATCTGGAGTGCTTGGACCTCTGGAGGAGATAGGGTAAGCAGCCCTTCTTGTCATACCTATATATTCGTCATTCGCTCTAAACAACCCAACCCAACCCAACGCGTTAACCCAGCCCAGAAGGCTTGGAACAACAGTATAAAGTTAACGTATTTGGCGTTTTGGCGGTCGCAAAGGCATTCTTGCCATATATGAGGCAACGGAGAGAGGGTGTGTTGTTCGACTGCGCCCTACAACGATATTCTCACTCTCTAACATGGTCTCAGGCATCATTGTTATCATGGGCAGTCGATCAGGCTGGAGAATCGCACCTGTGAGCGTGTCCCGTAGAATTTCAGGTATTACCGATCAACTCATATTCATTCGCAATAGGGAATTGGCGCGTACTCGACTTCAAAAGCTGCGGTGAACTGTAATTCTTTTGAACTCGATCCTTTGTCCTCATCGTTACTAACCCGACGCAATGTTTAGTATTGGGAGAGACGCTAGCAGCTGAAGTTGCTCCATTTAACATCCGCGTCCTCACTCTCATTCCAGGGGGGTTCCACACCGAAGGAATAGTCGGGAATCCCGTGATAGTGCCATCTCACCCTAATCACATTCGCATCTCAGACTATGATGCATTCCGCCGCGATCTAGAATCGCGGATGAAAAAACTGCCCGGCACGCAGTTAGGTGATCCTGATAAGCTTGCTGAAGTGGTCACGGCGGTCGTCGGAGGCGAAGGGATCATGACGGGAGAGCGTTCCACTTCCAGTAGCGAGGACCACGCAGGGGACGTTACGGAAAGTAATATTCGGCCATGGCCAAAAAGACTCTTTCTTGGGTCTGATGCTGAAAAGGATGTCCGTGACAGGATGGCCGAGATGAATCAAACCATGATCGAGTGGAGCGACGTCCTGAAAAGCACCGATAGGACTTTTTAGACTGAATCAGCACATCCTCGAAGTGCCATGTTGGGATCAGCAGAATCTGGCACGTACGATTTAGATGGAAGGATGTGATGGGTTGCGGGTGTAAAGAACATTCCCCAGCATCTAGAACCTGCTGGCAAACGCATTCATTGGTGGAACACTCTAGACGCATAATTTCAAACAGATGCAATTGTGATGTTGGACAGCATACTCTGACGTGCTTCAATTGGAAAGACAAGACGACAGTTTCGGTTCAAACCATCGAAGGATGCAAGCGGACCTATTAAGTGTACCATTGGAGGTATTCTGGCGGAGGAAGAATGCAGGGCCAAACGTTATTTGTAATCGACGCCTCCCAATCGGTTTCGCATAACTTGAACAGCGCCATAGCAGCGAAAGAATCCTCCGTCTGTGGAACGAGTGCCTCAGTTAATAATTTATAAAAACCCCAAATCACGTACAGCAGTCTCAATACGCTCATGAATGTCTCGGCCGAGAAATTGTCGTACCATTTCCTTGAAATTGTCCTCCCTAATGTAAACATCAGATGCTTGAAACTACACGACGTTCGAATCTCTCTTACCCTGGAATCAGTCCCTCTAGTAAAGGTAGGTACGTCGCAACATCTCGAGTCTTGTTAGCGGGATGCCTTAGCTGGAGGGACTGGAGATGGCTTAATTTCGTAGACAAGAGTACTAGGTAGAAAGACGATACCTCCAGAGACATCCAAAGCTCATAGCCGACTAGATTTTGACCATGAATGGTATCCTGCACCCTTTGACGGACATCCTGGAATTCCAAGACATCGTCTAAAAAAATCGGGTCGTCATGAAGCTGGCGTGGACATGCATGAATGTGTGTTTTTACCGCCAAGGACAAAGTGCGAAGGCAGAAAGCCTGTGCCTTCTGTAAGATAGTCTATGACTTCTTCCGTGGGTTGGACCAGAACATCCAGAATAATTGACCCAGAGTAATCCTGTTGTGATGAAGTTAAGCCATTCTGGTTCAAGTCTTCCACTGTGCCCACATACAGATAAGCAAACGCTGGCTAGCAAGGGTCCATCTTCCCCAACGACGATCTGCGTGGCCAGACTCACACACATTTTTCCGGACGGGTAACGAGTCAGACAGATATTGGAGAGAGGAGACAGGGGCGGAAACGTGATAGAGATCAGTGCAAACAACGGGTGATCTCAGAATCTTGCGCATACAGTACCCCTTCAAGTAGTTCGCAGCTTGTTAGGCAAAAATGGAATCTGGTAGTGAAATAAGCAGAAACGCTGCGAAGTTGCTGCCCCAGAGACAGCATTGAGCTTGTCACTGGGTTTAGTCACGCTCTAGCTCATGACCCATGGTAGATCATGCTCAAGCCAGTTCTGGCAGCTGAACCACAATTCCAGGAAGCCGAAGGCTCCGAACAGTCGACCGAGAGAAGTACGGCATTTGACTTGAAAGATGGCATTGTTTGATTTGAAAACAATCCTGCTGCTGGTTATCGGGTCAATAAAGTGAGAGGTCTAGATCTGGAATGAACGATATGGGTATGAGGATGCGTCTGGAACTTGGGGACAGTCTCGTGTTTGCCCCGGGGAGCATTGCCATCACGCAAGTCCAGATATCTCCGAAATGAGACGAGGACGGGAACTCACGTCGTTGGGCCTGAGGAAGGGCATTCCTTGACGAGAGGGAGTGGAAGGTGTCACGCGCTGTTACTCCGCTGATTTTCGCGAGTCGTGACACTCTTTTCACAATTCACATGGCAGCACGCCGGTTGTAAGACTTCCTATTAAATATCTCGAAGTGATGGACACCCCACAACAGAGGGACGTAGGGCTTTGGTATCCATGCAGGTCAGATATTGTGAAGGCTCAGGTAGCAAATTTGTAATATTTTGATTTGGAGGGCGCAGCAGATAAGACCTCCTCCATTTGGCTAACCGTTATCCGAAGTCCACGCCACTGATCGCAGGCATGACATGTGCCGCCTACTAGAGCCAGATAGGTTATAGGTGGCCTCCGCCCCCTCCAGAGCTTCTGTCCCATTTCATCGTGCTGCGTACGCTCTCCACGCCGCTGTGGTGCCACTTCGGGCGCTTATAACACGCATCATAGTGCAAATGACATGCTCAGGCGGAAACTTCGTTCGGACAGGACGCCCCTAACCTTTGTCTGGCAGCCTCTGCTTCGAATCTTGCCCTCCGCCTGAGCTCTATGATGCTATGCTGTCTGGGGCTCGTATTGATTCAGCTCGGTGTTTATAATTACCCAGGAAAACAACATAACAGGCGGGCGCCATCGGTCTGCCAATCATGGGATAGACTCATCCCGAACACAGACCGATGTTGTGTCTGTGGTGAATCTACGCTCGGGGATGAAGTTGGAACGACTAGCCAGGCTCCCTTTAAGCAGAGTATCCCTAAATACCCTTATTTAGGAGGCTCCGTCAGGAATCAGTGGATGTGTGTCCTCCGTCGTAACTTGACAATCGAAGTCGCAGAAAAAGAAGGGCGACTCTGAAGAGAGTCAAGAGCATAATCTCATCCCAATCTGTGAGCCTGATGCTCCCCACCAAAGGTCTGTCTTGGAAGCATCGACGGAGGTAGCAGAGCGGAATTTCATAGCTGAAATATCGTAGCGCCTGGACATCCAGGCGTTAACGATGTTCAGTTACGGTTAATTTGGTCTGGTCTTAGTCTATTGTGAAACCCGCCCCGGCCGTAACAAAAGACGTTATGGAGAGCTATAAGACATGTGCCTCATTAGATAAGTTGAGTCGTCTCATTGGGTTAAACATTGCCATCACCTCAAAGTGACCAGCTTGCATTATGCTGTGTGTCCTGTGGTTTTTGGCAATCTGCACACTTGGGTAAAACTCTTCCAGCATGAGCTCGATATGATCAGGCGAAGTCAAGGTCAAAGCGCCCGTTTTTTACTGAGCAACAACACGTGCGCCCAATGTATTCGAACTTCTAGCGCAGAAATGGGTATGATCGGCCTCGGGCTTGTTCGCTAAGTTCAAAATTTTGTTCAGCCGTTTCTCCCGATATCTGCCAGGCAGTTGCAACTCGTTCCGCCCATTTCCTTCGCCATTAAAAATTGAAAGACATGGGGGAAAGAAATAATGCCTCGCGCGCCGAGGGTTCAACCAGTGTATTATGTGAAGCTCGTGGCACAATGTGACCCGAAATCACCAACTTGTTGGGGATACCAACGATGGCTGGCACCTCATCATGGTTTTGACACCTCGCAGACTTGTTGACCGAGCGCACTCACACAGCGCTGCCGGTGGAAAACAAATCAAGGCATCTTAGACCATGCGCTTTTGGTTTTCGTTGGCCGAGTTCAGCGTTTTCCACGCGTATACGAAGTCGCATGCATAGTCAAATTTGAATCCAAAAGCGAAACACAAGGCAAAGCCGATACAATCATAAACATGAAGCCCCTCAGTCATATAACCGTCGACAGGAATAGCACCTCGGCTTATCACCAGTCGACTTCGCAACCGCCAGTACATCGTTCTGACAGTCTCGACAAAGCATGTGCCCGCAGGATGATCCGGCGACCATCTGACCTTTCCGTTCCTCGAAGCATACGGGGCATTGATCCGGTTCCTCCGTCAGTGCTGATCTACGAGTGGTGGTGTTCGTAGTGTTCGTAGTATTCGTAACTGTGCTCCGCGTATCCGACTCGGATGGAACTCGACGACGCGGAGGAGACGGCACCGCACGATTTGTATTCCATCTATCAAGATTTGATTCAGTGAGCGGCTGTGTTCGGTTCGAGGTCGTTCGATCCTTCTTGAGCATGCGAGTGGTAACCGACGTGAAGCCATCATTCCCGGAGGAAACTTCCTTAAACTTGGCAAGTGGATGTGAGGTTGGATGGACGGGGACGGGGGATGCTTCGCAATTTTCGCAAAAATTGACGGGGTTCTCGCATGTCATGCACTGGGAGGGAATGAGTTCCAAGCATCATGCCGAGAGAATGCCGTACCTTGTATCGGATACCGGTGATGGGGCGTTGGCAATTGTTACAAGAGATCCCGTGGGGACTATCAGACTTCTTTTGAGGAGGCATTAGATCCTTTGGGTCCTTAACGTGGACGAAGCGGTGTAAGGGGTGAGCAGTGGAAATTCGTCTTAAATCACCAACTATTAGGATTAGAGCTTCAAATATCGTAGAATGAGTCTTACGAGAAGCAACTTTCACAGGAATCAAAGTCTGAAAAGATTTCGTGTGACAAATGTAACCAAGTCGGTCATGACGAACAGAACAGAGTCCACTTACCAGGACATGCACAGCATTTGTGCCTGATGCCAACAATGCTCTTCAGACACAAGTTGCATCGTGCTGGATGGACTGCTGGTACATTTGGTTCAACAGGGCTACTGATCGAAGCTGGTGTAATGGTAGGTACGCCGCCAACGCTTTCTGTGAACGCCATGCATCTAATTATCCATGGCTTTGAAACACCGAAACCGATGAAAGGATGCGATACGTCATGACGGTCACGGTGAGTATCCATACAATTAGCGCACACGTCAAAGTCGGGACAAACAAGGCACTTATGGCGAGTCACGCCAGTAATGGGCCTCATGCAGATGTCACAGTTCGCATAGTGCAGCGCAAGCAACCTTTGGGTGCCAGCATGCTCGATGTCGTTGACGACATGGATAGCTAATCGAGTAGGGGCGGAAATCTCGACAAAGGCGTGCTTTACCCCCGGGATATGCTCTGTAAAGCCCCTTTTGTAACAAGACTCGCAAAGGACATATCCAGTATCGCAGTCACTACATTGGTAGCGCTTTCCAGTTACCGTCTTCTGACAGTTACCGCACAATGTCTCAGGAAGACCAAAGGCTGCTACATTTATCGGGTCCTCGTTTGTATAAGGGGGTGGGTCCGATCTGGCAGGTGCGCCCTTTGCCTCGGGAGTATCCTCTTCTCTGGCATAGGCTCTGAAGTCATGCTGAGTGTCGTGCGTGGCCCTGTTATGCTCAAAACAAACGCCACACTGGGAAAACTAGTTGTTAAACAAAAGCGGGACACATGCTGAACGACACACCATGTCGAACGAAGGGTCGCAGACTTCACATCGGTAACGGATCCCAAAGATGCCTTTGGCACATATATCACAATACGAATTGTGGTCGACGCCTTGGTGACGTGGAACCATGTTTTGAGGGGTAACCAGCACAAACTTATGACTGGAGTTGTGAATTATCACTGACGATCTTACTTTAGTATCGCATTTGTCACACTGTCAGACACAATTAATTAGTGTATGGGGCGCTTAAATTGGCACGTACTAAATCGAAATTAGAGCAAGATGTGCACTAGATGTAAAACCTATCATGACGCGGAACATGGAAACATCAAATATTAAGCATACCTTGTAGCGCTTAGTGGTCCCCAGGGAGGAATAGCACATGTCACACCAGATGCCTGGGCGTGCACCAGGAGGCAAAGGAGTCCCGGAAATGGTTGGATCGATGTACAGCATTGTCCTACGTTAGTTGTAATTATAGTGCAAGCTGGTTGGAGCAACCCAAGCTGAAGCCGGCTCTACCCGATGCTGTGCGGCTGGTCTTATTCAGTACCGATTCGAGCGTACTTCAGGCTGAACGGTGCCATTGGATACAAGAAGCCCAGCTGAAATAGCAATATTGATGAAGGCAAATAACATTGTTTCTAGGCTTAAATAACAATTACAGCAAGCGAATCATCCTCCCATACACGATTATCTGACGATCGACTCCCAGAACTTCAACGCACAGAGCCGGAAACCATCCCAATTATCAACAGCTGGTCGAACGTCCAGGTAGAAGGAAAGGTTAGGGGGAGATGATGGATCCGATTGTTTCTGGTCAAAAGTAGTAGGCGTCGCATTGCGCCCTGTGTAGAAGTCTATAATGTAACGTTGTCGTACGCCACATCTCTCAACTATCCAGTCATGCCGATCAAAAGGTGCTTGATACCTGTGTTTAATCTTTAGTCATATAGCACAGAAATGCTAAGGCCAAGCGCTAGTGCCCGACTTACCCTAACATGATGTTGAACCAGGCACGAATCGTCCTATCCTGTGGTCGGCCTTTGAAACTAACCAACTTGACACCACCACACTTCTCTCCGCCTTGACCCTTCTCCCACCACATTAACTCGCTCCAAGCACGCTCATTGACAGCATTGTGTATGGGCACAAGAACCCGCATGTCGGATGGCTGGGGATTGTGGTTCTTCCGAGCCATTGCTGAGTAAAATTGCACCTGCGATGGGTATGCCCAATTAGATCCATCAGTCCGAGGTATTGATGATATTTCCCGCTCCTGCGAGAGTTTAGCGGGAGAGTGTGGGGTAACAGGAGGATGGCCAGTCGGTGGTGTCATATTTTTCCACGCATCTGACGAATGGTCTATCGGACATTCCTGGGCGGTGAGTCCTTTGGAGGGCTCGTCGCTTGACTCCATAGCAGCTGAGACGCCCGACACAGGCAATGGCACTGAATTGTCCCATGCCCAAAAACCGTGGGAGCCACTCGTGACGTGTCCCGGAAGCTTCAACTCCATGTCGAGTACATCGTCCAAACCCACGCCTTCAGGCACGGGATGGCTTGATCCTGCTCTGTAAGTGAGGGTTTTACTTGGAAACCTGCTTATTATAATATCCCAATGTCACAGACTTCCGGCCTATGGCATTGCTCTAGTTGCTCTCATTGCCTTCGCTCGTTATGTGGACAAAACATATATTCGCCCACCATCTAAAACAGGCTTTGGGAAAGGAGCGCCGGGGTTTCTCACCAATACGCGCAAGATAAAGGTGACACCTGAGATTGCAGAACGTCTGCGTCGAGGCGAGAGGGTCAGTCCGGAAGAGATCGAAGAAGCTGTCAGAGCCGTGGAAGAGAAGCATGCGAAAGCCACCTCTAGCGAGGGGACTGATGATTCAGGGGGGAAGCCAAAAGTTAAATCTCCCAATGTCTTACCCAAACGAGAAACAAGATCACAGGCGCGTCGTGCTGCGGCAGCGTCTTCTGAACCGGAGAACGAGTGGATCCCAGGACATGTTAAGAAGGGTACATTAGGACGGCGGCGTAAAAAGTGATGCATGGGTGGGGAGCTGTTCTGCATTGGGTATGTATCGAGGCATGGATATGTATGCCTAGTTTGAGTACGTCAATGTAACCTTGCGACGATTCATGACCCATCGGAAGTTCCGGTTTCATCAAGCCATTTACGCACTGCCTTTTTCCCTCCTATACCAAGCAGTGTCCATCTTCTTTTATCCTCCTCACTTCGTTCCCGATAGAGTCGTAGGACCTGGTCGGCGACAGCGAGCATGTCCTCATGTTCCACATCGAACAGTTCATACCAGCCATCTGGCAAGGGTATTCCCTGAATGCGTGTTGTGATGAGTATGCTGGCACATGCCAGCGTAGGAAAGGGGAATAGTGCATAGACAGGTGTTTGCAAGCTGTACAAATATTAGCATTCACTCTTTAAGCAGAAGGATAGCACTGACGCATCGTTCAAGTGGTTCCAACAAGTCTGTGGCACTTTTTCGTGGCCCGCTAGGCCTAGCACTTGGAGATAATTTATCATAGTCCCATATGGTAGCTGGACTCGCACATTGAAGCCGAGTCGCTTCAATATCTGCATCTCGCCCACCACGAGGGCGTCCTTAAGCTCATAAAACGTCTGTGAGAAATACGACATGGGCGTATACTTGAAGGTGGCGTCTTGTTCATGGGGTGTTGTATTCGTCGATGAATGCTTTGAGGGCGAACCCGAGAGTGGAGGGTATTGATGCCGCGCCCGAGACAATAAGAGATCGTAAACATTGATAAGATCCCTCATACGAATGGGGCATTCCTCCAACTTTGAAGCCAAGTACAGCGCGCCCATACCAATGTCCTGCGCAGGGAAGATTCACAGTGACAGAGGTGGTGTCCAATGTAGACATGGCTTAAAAGAATGGCCCACTGACCCCAATGCTGAAGTGTTTCATCGAAGAAACATACCAGAAACGTTGGAATAGTACTTGGGCTGTGGCTATAGCAACCTGCTTCCTAAGGGTGTCGACCAGGAAAACGCAACGTGTGATGCGAAGAAAATACGTTAGATAAGTTATCTCAATCTTGAAAGTGGCCTACTGAGTAGACAAGCTTTGGCGTAATACAAACTCACTGTTTGAGCAGTAAACCGGCTTGCTGTATGAGTTTACATCCATAGGCACGCAGATCTTCCTCGAGCTCCCTTGGCAAACCATCTGTCATAGATGGTGTCTCTTTGGCCTGCTCTGGGGAGGCGAGTGGCTGCAGCATTACATTGACATGGTCCATGTTGTCAAGACGGATTTCGTGGCTGTGTCAGGTCATTGTGTGATTATTATTGCTGTGCAGGCTGCCTCATGGATTAGGACAATATTTTACCGGACGAATCAGAAAGAATAAGTGAGGAATCAAAAATGCATTGTAGCTCATGTGTATATTGGGGGGGGGGGGGGGGGGGATGACCCGAGTTACAAACTAAAATTCATCATCGATCTGGATTTCGTCTGCGTTTGTTGCAGGTACACTTGGCTCGTCGTCGGCCACCGCAGGCGCATTTGCCAAACTCTGCTTGGCGGGTACGAAAGAGGGTCCTTTGGGCTTGTCCAGCGTAGCACGCTCAGCAGCTGCCATGGCATCCAGTGGTGCGCCTGAAGCGGTGTCTTGCTCGTTCAAAGTCCCTTGTTTTGTATTCTCGGTCTTGGCGACCAAATAAGACGCTGCAGTATTGAACTGCGCTTGAACGCTGCGCTTGATGCGAAGCATTTCCCGGAAGGTATCCTCGCTACCGGTCTCAATCTCGAACGAATTCCATTCCGTCCAGAACCTCGGCTCCACGCGAGGATCACAAAATTGGGACGCATGGGCATAGATGGCCCGCGCGCGATCGATTTCACCCAACTTGCGTTCGAGAGCGGCGAAACGCAAACACATCTGTGCTGCCTGACGGTTTGGCAAAACTTCCAAAGCGCGTTCGTAGATTGGACGTGTTGCAGGCAGTCCGAAGTTTTCCGTAGCTTTCGCAATGTAGACGGTAAATATCTATAAAGCGCGTCATTAAAGCTATTCTTCTGTGAAGCGAAAACCCGTACCTCAAATTTGTCGGCGTCCGCCACAACCTCAGAGGCCCGCTCATAGATTTTCATCGCTCTCTTGCTCAAGCCATGTTCCTCCTCGAGCTGAGCATACATGAAGAAGATAGGCTTGCAGAATTTCTCAGGGCATTTTTCTAGGGCTTGTTCAAACAAATCGCGTGCGCGTTCCAACTTTGTGCCTCCCTAGACAATTGCTCGTCATCAGGACTAAACGGAGGTTCGTTTGTCAAACTTACATAACGCTTCACAAACTTGGACAGGTAGCTGTTCCAAATCTCAAATGATATAGGGTAGGTGAAAACTTCAACACCACGCTCGTAGGCCTTTTTTTATGCGCTGGGATTTAGAAACGGAACCAGCTGAAGAACGTTATTAGCTCACCTTGAAACTTTCCTCGAAATATTTGTTTTCCTCCAAGAATGCAGCATAGTTCACGATTATCTGGGGAGATACAATGAGGTCGGATCATCCAACAACCAAGCCCCCATACCTGAGCGTTGGCGATACGAAGCTCCAGCATTTGATCGTAGACACGCTTGGTGGTCTCGACGGTACCAATAGATTCCTCTAGATCGACATAGTAAGACCAAAGTTTAAGCGACTTGAACAGTCTGGCTTGGACAGGCAACGACTGCAGGAGATATTAGAGTGTAGCCCATGGAAATAGTGCAAAAAAAAAAAAACCATGGACGCACTTGATCATGGTAGCTAATTTTGGTGTTCTTCGGTATCGCGGTTGCGCGCTGCATCACACGAATCCCTTCGTCATAATTTCTTTCAAAAAAGGCATTAAGGTCAGGAGAGCAAAACGTCAATCAAAAAAAAAAAAAACACCGTCCAAAAGAAAACTGACTCATTGCGGATTTCCATTTCAGCCCATTCGCACCACACTTCTGCTAATTCTTCCACAGTCCTGAACGGTGTCTTTGTGCCTTTTTCGAAAACTCGTCGGGCACTGTCGAGGTCCGGAACAGCGGTGCCTGTTACTCCTCCTTGCTCATAGAACTTGGCGAAGTTGACAAAAATATTGTGGTAATTCGGCGTGGCCTTTCGGGGGTTAATGGTCTCCATCGCCTGAGTGTAGGTCTCTGCCACCTTCGCTCCCCCCCGAGCTTTAGCCGATGCAAAACTTGTTAGGGACGCAAAGTGTTCAACGTACTTTATCGTCATCGTCACCCCACAGTGCCACCCGCTTCTCCCATTCTTGCACATCATTAGGATTACGACGAATCAGAACATCGTTGACAAGGAAGGGTCGCCGGTCCATCAACTCTTCGAGCTTTCGCATGCGCTCATCAAGCTCTTTCTCAGTGTCCGCAAGAGCTCCTTCGTCTTCGTCTTCCTCGGGATCCGCGAGTGAGTCCATCAAAGCTGACACAACCGATTCCGAAAATTCAGCATATGCATCGAATATCTGGGTGAAGTCCCGAATGGTCAACACGGTTGCAATTCCTTCTTCGAATGTGGCCTGCGCCTTTGGGTGGGAAATTAATGTTGAGTTGAGATACATGACTGTTAGATTGTGGATCGAACGTACTCGGTCGAATTCGCCCCGTTTCGTCCAATATGTGGCGAGGCCACTCCAAAGTCTTCCTGCTTGATCCTTATAGATGGCCAAACCGTCTTCTTTCACAATCCTCCCTACGTCGAGAAGGGAAGGATTCGCGGGATCTTCGTCCTTGTCATACGGTCTCGACGGAGGGGTGGAGGATGTGGGAGGCCCAGCAAAGCGGATCAATGGACCACCAAGTGCCGAGCTCGTGGGGGGCGGCCATCTTGATTTTCTATTTCTTTGCCTGATCGCTCAGCGTCATCTTTAGCGAGCTTGTCCTTGGATGCTTTGGCGGCGGCGCGCTCCGCATCTGCCACCTCAGGCTCCAAACCCACTTCGTCCGCAAAACGCTCACAGACGTCCAGCCATTCACCAAGCAGTTGATAAGGAGACTTGCCTTCCGGCGACGTATACTCTCCTCGAGCTGCTTTCCGTGCTAAAGACAACAAAAGTTTAGCAGCCTCCAGAGGACGAGGCTCGACCTCGTTCTGCGCTCCTCTGGTCCGTAACAGCTGGAATTGCGTCTTGACCCCTGGCTCTTCGTCATCACTCCCAACCTCTTCCAGTTCAGAGCCTGGCTTTCCATGAAGGAGGAGGGATACATATCGTTCGGTGAGGGATGGATCAATGGCGAGGAATCGTCGGTATATGACAACGGTGGTCATGCCACCTTTTAGTTCGGCCCACAACAAATACCGAGGCCAAATTCGTGCATGCAAAGATGGTGGGAGAGTCCGAAGAGCACGATCGAATGTTCTTCGAGCATGTGTGTATTGTACTGGGGCTGGACATTGGGGATGAGTAAACAGATTGACATACAGTAACCATATTCTTGGCATCTAAGCAGGAATATCAGAATACTTAAGCGGCTTAAAAAAAAAAAAATCCAATCGCCTCATCCTTACCGTTGGAAGCCACATCAACGCACGCTCGAAGACAGCAATCAGAGATTTCCATTCGCTCCATCCAACAACGGGATCGAGTCCACTCTGGTATTGTTCAAACTCAAACTCCTCCTCCTCCATAAGCACCTTCATATCTGCCCATTTATTTCTCCCACCAGCTCTCTTCGGTTTTGAGCCTCTTCCAAACACATATAAGCACCGCATCTGAAGGTAGGCTTTCCATAGCTTGAAGGAGGAAGGAAAGTGAGTGAGGGCAGACTCGTAAAGGTAGGTAAGTTTCTGGAGCCCAAGGCGTGCCGCGGGCGTGGAAAGGGGTCCAATAAGGGATGTGAGTGGAGTAGGAAGAGAAGATGCAGGTGCAGCCTTTTGTTCAGCGACAACGCTATCCCTTACTGCAGCTATGGTTGTCCACCAAAGACGAAATGAAGAGGCATTTCTGAGCAGATCTTCCTCTCTATGAATATCTTTTGGTGTCAGAAGATCGGGATTCCTCAGTGGTGTAGGAATAGGCCAAGTCAGAGGAAATTGCGCCGAAAGTGAGTCCAGGGTTAAGTCTGGAGAAGCCATCTCACAGATTACAGACCCTCAATGTCCCCAGAGCCTTTGAGAAGAAAGACGCCCCAAGAGCCGATTATTCCTGAGAGAAGGGGCAGGGAAATCGGCCAGTCGAGTGCCAGTGTAGTGACCACTTAAGCGCCAGAACACGTGATTTTCCCTTCAAATTTTCCACTTCTGGTCGCCTCTCTTGTAAGAGAGGGACGTTTTGAAGGCGTAAGTGGGAGGAATAGGCTAAAGATAGACACGTAGAACAAGGAAACAAAGAGGTTACTAGGCTTGGAGGCAATACGGGTTGGGTGGTTGGACGGCGCTGGGCGCTTTGAACATGTGAACACTCATATGGCGTCCTCCTCACAGATTGTTTCCCATCCTGATAATTCGCACATTTTAATCATACTCAGTCTAACACTTCGCTTGAATTCTTTTGCGCCGCATTCTGGCAAGGAGTTCAACCCAACCACCGAATCGGACCGTTCCGGGGTTCGCTTCAGTGCCCACACATGTCCAACAGCTTGCTCTTTCTTCAGCTTGCGCTAGAGCGCGCCAAGGAATGCATACCAACGCCGTCTGCGTTCTGTGTTGGATGCGTAATCACTGTCCCACATTCGACTTCTGATGTTCCCATCGTCCTCGAGACCGGATTCTCTCGTGAACTTCCGGGCAACACTCACGCTGAGGCAAACGCACTCACTAAAGCCCGTAGTCTAACTTCACAAAAGCTTTCAGAGCTTCTTGGAGAGGAGTCACCCCCGGAAATTGAAGAGTTGCTGAAAAACGCTGATGTGTACACTACCATGGAACCATGCTCAGTCCGACTCTCAGGGCTCGCACCTTGCGCTGACGCTCTGATAGAGGCGAACGTTCGTCGTTGCATCATTGGAGTTGGTGAGCCTGCGGACTTTGTGAAGTGTGAGGGCGCGACCAAACTGCAGGCCGCGGGAATCGAAGTTGTCTGGGTGTCAGGACTCGAAGAGGAATGTTTGGAAGTCGCTAGGCGAGGGCATCCTCCAGTGGTAGCTGCCTAGGTGCGATCTGACGCGTGGTATGATCTCGCGAGTCACCTAGAGACAAATTACTGATCCACTTCCAGTTATGGAACGTCCCCAGTGCATCTGGGTAAAGTTGCTAACTTTACAACAACGCTGTAGTAAAGCGACAGCCTTGCTACTGAACAATCACACCTCCCCTAAGGAAATAATATCACCTACCTCACTTTTATGTACACGAAATCCTTTCCGTCACAACCCATGACTAAGTTTCATGTCGTAATAAAGAGCTCTTTGCCCAAAATGGATCTAGCTAGCTTCGCAATCCCTTGACTAATCTGTTCTACTTTTCCTGGGCCATTCCACCATCATAAAGTTTGGGAGCTCGAAACATCCATTGTCCCCCGATCGAAGGGCCGTGATTGATGCCGCAGTCGTAAAGCACAAGTGGACCACCGGGATCCAGCGAGGAGAGGTACGGGCGATTTTTGAGCACCTAGTCTGAACCAGAGATCCGGACTCTGGAAGATTTTCCCACCTAGCGAAAGCTGCTCGCAGTCTAAGAATCACAACTGACCTTGAAAGCAAGGTAATACCGAAAACTGACACCACTTGCATGACTGTTGCAAATTCCACATCACATGTTTTAATTTTACATTAGACCTCGTGATGCTTGCTTAACGTGACTTGTTTCTGTCTCTGACCAACGATAACCTCAGGCGTTTAGTGCATCCCTTGTCTTCTCCAAGCATACACTCCCTCGGCCTCTATGACTTCGTAACATTATATAGACAAATTTTTTTCACCCTGGCATATTATTTGGTAGGAAGCAATGCTGGGAAGGAAGCGACTTTTTCCACACGTATAGAGGAGATAATTGCTCTTAGAGAACCCCCCCCCCCCCCCTTGTCAGTGACTATGCGGAGAGTGGGTCTCCCTCCAAGCGGCGATTCTCCGGACCGTCTTTCTTAGCTCTCCCATTAAGCGCCGAAGGGAGAGACAATGTGTATCACTTGTGCCAGCCACCTTTGACCTTCTCATTGTTCTCCAATGTCCTCTCCGTGATTCAACTCAACAAGCTCAATTTTTTTATATTTGTCAACTACTCTGATTTAACTCAGTACTGTCATTCTCCTCTCTCTCAACTACTAGTTCAGCACAAACTCTGAGCTCCTCGTGACTGCGATCAGGAAAATACCATGTGAAGCAAGGTCATGGTTGCGAAGCAGCCTTTCTAGTTGAATATATCTATGCTATAAGGAATCGGATTGAATGAAACCACCACTTCCCGAAGATAAATCACACTGCCGCAGTAGGACACTGCACCGCATCTGGAAAGACTTGGCAATCCAGGGGCCATTGAGTAGAAAAGTCATCTCGCCCCTGGTCATGACGTTAAACCGCTCTTCGTTAAACGCACCTCGAGATCTCCTCATGTCGACTGACAACTTAAAAGCACTGCTTTTTCCATGTCTGTGGAACCCCAGGAAAGCACCCGAAGCGCCCTTCCAACCTCAACCCCAACCCAACCCAACCACCAAGGGGTAACTCTTCCAAGTTAGGCGCCGCATTTGAAGGGCAGTCCACAGTTTATTTGTTCGACTCGTACACTTGCGAGAAAGGGTGTATTTGGTTCATCCATATCTTCGTTCTGTGCCTTCATGTCCTTCCTCATGGGGACTTTGGTCAGCAACCTCCCCAGTCCTCTGACCTGCGCACCAAAATTTCAAATTTTTAACTCTGACGCGCCAACTGGTCACTGCTTCCCTTTGGCTATAAAAAGGACCCATGTCGCCCCCTTAACTTGTCGAACTCTTCCAGCTATCTTACGACCCACTCACAGCGCAAGTTCATCACAGTGCATAATGACTCGCGTCGACCCTGACCCCAACCGCACCAGTCCTTACAATTACTCCCTTCCCGACGGGCGACGCAATGCTGGTCCCACTGAGTGGATTTGTATCTTGATGATCGTGCTCTTCGGTGTCTCCACTGGTATGCAAATATGTTCCACATGCACGGTAATGACAGGGCTGAGGCATTCTTCCAGTGATTCACTGTGTACAAAGTGTCTTGGGGCGTCACTGGTATCTGATTGCAACTGTGGTCTTGTGTGGCGTTGGGGAGCTAATCGGATGGAGCGGTCGCCTATGGAGCTCGATCAACCCTCCTTCTTACCCACCGTTCCAGATCCAAATATCAACCACCATCATATCGTACGTGATGATGCCCAAGTTCAGATCCTGTCCTGATTACCACATCCCTCGAATAGGCCTACGTTCCTGAGCGCTGCGAATTTCCTCATTTTTGGTGTTATTGTGAAGGTGTACGGAACTCAGTACAGCCGCCTCTCACCCAAGCTCTGTACGTGTACCGAGTGGCTTCATTATCCCCTTCAACCAAGCTGATAAGGCCTTACAGATGCAACCCTCTTCATTGTGATAGATACCATTTCGCTGGTAATACAAGCCGTCGGTGGGGGTATGGCATCGGCGGCTTCGACGGATGCTGCTGCTTCACATGGTGCCCACATTATGGAAGGCGGTATCATCCTTCAACTTGGTATACATATAGCCCATATCAGTCATCCCCTTCTTCTGATATGATATGTTTCTCCAGTTGCCATTATATTTTATACCGCCCTAGCGGCTGAATTCCTCTGGCGTTATACGACTCATAGCCCCCTGGTGTCGGTAAGCGCGCCAAGCCTGGAACCAGGCATCGTCGAGGATGGCCAAGAGCCGAAGCGTCCCCATGAATTCCATCAAAAGGTGAAACTACAGCTATGTGGACTCATCCTTAGCACGCTATTCTTGTTTATTCGATCCATCTACCGAACGATCGAGGTGCGCTGCCTGCGATATCTTTATGTGGCAGTCCAAAGTGGCTGATTAGCTTTTGACAGCTCAACGGCGGTTGGACAGGAAGAGTCATCTCCACTGAACTGTATTTCAACGTGCTCGATGGCTCCATGATCGTCCTTGCGATGTACACTATGAATTTCCTGCATCCTACGTGGTTGCTTGATCGACAGCGCCACTGAATCTTTGGTTAACGCAGCAATGGACGGTATCCTAATTTGTGTTTTTCGGTTCTTTTTAATTCATTATGGTTTTCTGTGATTTGGTGTCACGGCCTCACGATAGCACGACCTTGACAGGAGTACTAAGGTGCTGACCATCCTAAACAACAAGAGGAACACAACTCCGAGCCAATGAAACTTCCCGCGGAAGTTAGTACAACGGCGCCCCACAAAGACAGCATGTATTGGGCCAGCTGGAAGATCAAAATCCCGAGCTGCGAAGAACAAAAGCAAGCGCTCAAGATGCGGGTCCATAGGGTCAATTGGACTTCCCCTTAAAGAGAGGCTGGTCACATATTATTACAAGGTCACTTCCCAGGTCACAATTCGTGGGAATTCTGACACTTTTGATCACATGCCCCAACACACAAATACATTCGGCCAACTCCGCCACACTGCAGCCGCGCGTTGGTCCGTAAAAAGAAACAAAATACACCCCTGCAAGCAGTGATCCACAAGCAAGGTCATGGTTGCGAAGCAACCTTTCTAGTTAGACAACTAGCCTTTGTAGTAGAAGAAGTCTTTCTCGCTTCGATTTGTCGGGTTCCTGCAGTCCACAAATTAAGTAAGTATCTCATGTGTTCCACAGGGTCTACAAGGGACTCCTTAATTTGGTATCGTTATCAGCGCTTCATTACACAGAAAACTTTACTCACAAGAGTGCAATGTGAAGATTTTTAACCCAGACGTACAAAAGGCGCTGGTGAGATTAGGTCCCGCAATACAGTCCGATCGATCGGCTTCGCATTTGGACTGGCCCCTGTATCTCGTATCATTGGGGTGTGATTACTGTAATGTTAATCCTGTAATGCACTGCTTCAGCGGATCCGTGTGATGCTTATGACGAAATGGGTTTTATGAACCTAGTTACTCACACAAATTGAACGATTGCAACATGTCATCGTGAGAGAACAAAATACCTGACGCTATGATCCAACTGTCAACGTCATATTACTGTCATAATATGACATGAATCATCACGGGTTAATATCAAATCCTCTGACGGACCCGCCTTCCATGGTTAATCCCATGCACGCGTAAACCCTTCTTCCACGCCCATCCAACGTTTTTTGTCATCGCTATTTTATCGATCGATCCTTGCATATAAACAGTGAACTTCGTGACCCTGCCACGATGACCAGGTTGTGATAAATATGTCCCTGACCGTCCCGAATATAGGTAGGGACACAACGTGGTGAACCTCAATGCATCACCCCTCACAGAGGGAATTAGTGATGCGTAAAAGATCATCTTAACCATTGTATAATACACTCATTTTTAACATGATTAAAACTGTGTTTTACAATGTGGTCCATTGCATTTTACCAGGATTCCTTTACCACGTTAAAGGAGGTAGATGACCTGTTTTTTAATGATTCTCCACCACGATAACGATTGTAAACGGTCAATTTACAAGGGTGCATTTTGTAATTTACCAGTCGGATTTCGTCATTTACAATATTGTTAATTTGGTGAAAAACGTGGTTATTTATCGTCATTTACAACTACATTTATGGCGATATACAGCGGAGACTCTAGGTTACGTTGCAATGAATAGCAGTCATTGCAAGTGAGGAAATGAACCGAGTTGAGGTGAGCAAAAGACAGAAAGGTCAATTCGAGGAGTGACGAAGAAGACCCGATCCGGAAAGCATAACGCAGGATTGAAGTCTTGGGCTCACGAGAAAAGTACGGAGTTGAGTGCGAGCAAGAGACGGGTAGCATAAAAGTCGAGCATCAATTCGATTTTGATGAGGTTGATTTGACAGAGCATAACCTAATGAAAGTGGAGGAAGTCTCGGGCTGTGAATAAGACGGTAGAAGATACCATAAGTGAACTTCAACCCTTGCGCACAACTTCGCGAGGCAGTCTTTCCTTCTGAGTGGGCCAGGTTAATCGATTCAGACTTTCTTCTGTTGTGGGGCCATCATAGTGACGGCCACGGGGGTTCTTTTTTGGCAGTACTAGTAGAGGTGGTTGTCATCGGGCCTTGGTCATTATCATCGCTTTTGAATTCCAGTCGCGTTTTTTGGTTACTAGCACAGGGGGAAATTAGCAAGGCAGAAGTGGGGGAAGAGGTAGTTGGGAGATAAACTAATGAGCGCACATGGGGCCAAACTACGCCCTAAGCAGATGCACGAGCTTTTCTACCACAGGTGTGACCCTTGGGTAACATAGATTCCTGTTTGCTGTGAGAGGCTTGACGATTTTCTAAAATAAAGAAATAAATAAATGCTATTTCTCATTCACCAATGAGTTAAAGACGCGTAAAGACGCGTTGAAACACGTCCAGATGGAAGCCATTCATGGCATCGCTGTCAGTGAGGCAGCATGCCCAGTGTCCATATTCATAAGTACTTGCCACTTCTGAGAAGAGTAGCTAGTTGCATAGCGAAAGGATAGTCAAATTGGGAGGAAATGAGCAGGTTGCAGAACGTGTATGGTATGGTGGAGAGGATAAGGCACTGAGTGGAATGGAAACTGCCGAGAACAACTTAGTCCGATTTCAGTCTAAGCGCCACAGTCTCTGCCCACCTACCCTTACATCTTTAAGTGCCAGCTTCCATACTTGGGGCTCCTCGCGACAAGAAACATTCCTGACAATTCCACCCATCGCAAAGTCGCGATCTAGTTTACTAATGTCTACAACAAGCCGTACCAACATATAATCGAGCTCTTGGTTATGCCTCGCTAGGGAAATCATGCATTGTCGGGGGAGGTGACAAAGTTTCCACAATGTGGGCCCAAAAACGACGAATTGAATTTAGGGACTTATCCTTCGTCTGGGTAGGAGTGTTTGAATTTCATGGCTCTCACTATTGAGCTGAAGTAGCTGTGGACTCAAATCCCCGAGCACGTCACAAAACGTCGCTTGTGAGAACATGCGTCACCTTGTTGACCTTGTCTCAGATAGCGGTGCTTACATGGATGCTGCCTTGGCACCGACCTCTTTTACTACACTCAAATTATCGCTCTCGCTTCGGTCTCTTCAGTATGTGGCCGATTTCCCTATGGTACGTACGCATTCCCGTCGTTGGGCCATCATCGATCGCAGTTGCAAGCTCGCAAGGTCAATCGACGACGATGACTAACCGAACTCCGGCCGTCCATACCTCTGACCTTTGTACAATACATCGCAGCTCGAATACCATGAATTGAGTGGTAATTTATGCAGGGAAGAGTCTGGTATTTAGCATCGTGAAACGTATATTGTAATTTACAATGAAAAAAATATCACGAAAACAATGGTAAATGGTCAAAAACCAGACCAAAAATGGTTTTTTACGGCCATTTACTTCCCACAGTGCCCTGGAAGTAATAAAAAAAAAAAACAGTCGTAATCGGGATGACAAAACAACAGTCGATAAGCACATTAAACTGCAGATGCTTTCACCAGAGTCAGTCGGAACGAGTAGGGCATTCAACAAAAGGGGGATTTCTGATGATCCAACACAGGTAATCTCGGTTGTCGCAAGCTGGTGGGGCAAGAACTTAATTCAGATAAGGTAGTGGGGAATTCGCGTCGCAAGACATATAAAAAAAAATGCGTTTCTCTCTCGAGACTTCTACCAAGTAAATCCACCACCACCACCACCCCCCCCCCGGCACCCTCATGCAACGTTCCCCCACTGTCAACGGCGGCACCCAAGATACGACACACACACACATGATCCTCCAGGAAACCTCAAAACGTCAAACGTTCACCAACCACCAAGAGGTAGCCGGATCGACGGCAGTGACCTTCAAATTTGGTGCCGAAGCGAAGCATTCTGTACCATACGACTATCCCCCTGACACCCACATTCGTGCGAAGGAGGAGTCGAAGATCATTTATCATGTGCACCGACGGTGCTTATTGGATCGATCGAAAAATGCCTTCAACTCTCTTCTCACGACCGGTGGTGGTGGTGTTGCACAGGAAAACAAGTCTAGTCCTATGGGAGACGCCCGAGTACAGACGACCATCACCCTTGACGAAAAACCGGAAGTGATCGTTGCTTTGTTGCATCTTAAATATGTGAGTGAGGAGTCCCCCTTTCCATTACCACTCGAACACGAGCAATTCATGTTTTTTGTTTTTTTTTTTTTTGGGTCTCCGTTTTCGATCTGACCAGGAACTATCTGTCCGATACCTGGATTTATCGATCGACACGATATCGAACGTGTTCACAGCCTTGACGAAGTACGGATATACGTTGGACGAAGTTGTGACGCCTTCCTCCGAACTTTTCACAGACTTGGTCCTTCAAGCCAAACGAGAACCCCTCCAAGTCTACAGTTTCGCCGCTTTCCATTCGTTCGAAGGACTCGCAGTTCCAGTTTCGGAGAAAGCCGTAGAGATATTCATCCCTCAGTTGGACGAGGAATCCGCTGTGAGGATCGGAGCGACGTATCTGCACCGTCTATTGCTGCTTCAGGAAACGCGACGGGCAGCGTTGAAGCGGTTGATGTTCGTTCCTCTCATCATCCCAAATCATGCGGACACGGCTACTTGCGCACCCCACGATCGTCATGATCTACAGCAGAGGTTCGTTATAACGATTGGGAATCGGGTTTGGGAGGCGGCGGCGACCATTGCGGGGCCGGATTGGATTACGGATGTTTTTGAGAGGCTCGCTAGAGATGTGAGGTGTGGAGCTTGTAGGCGGAATTTAAGGGAGAGGAAGGAAGCAGTATTGAGGGAATGGAACGATGTGAAATCGACAATTTAGAATAGGCCGCACTTAACCGGGTATATGAGGAGAATATTTGGTCGCAAAGACCGCACCAGCGCTGGAGGAACCATCTTGCCCCCCCCCCCGCTCATAGCATTTGCAACTGAGAAGCTCCAGAGATGTATGATAACCGAAATAGCTTTCCCTGCTATGAACTACTATCTCGTCGTTGAGCTTTCGAGACTGCAAAATGGTGCGAAAAATTAAAAATTAAACGTACTGCCAGTGCATAGATGAGATATATGTATCTGACGTTCGATCCCGTCTTGAGTTGTAACCGAATAACATCTCGCTGAGATATTACAACAGCATTACGCCAGCAGAGAGACAAACTTGTTCGAGCCAACGTCACCTTGCCGACTTGAACCGTGAACCTCAAAGAACTTGTGCTTGTGGTTTAAAAACGGTTACAGTATGGATGAGAACGATCATCTCATAGCGCGCTGGGTATACAGGACGGGGGCCTTGCTTGTTTTTTTTTTTTTTGCTAACGGGACGTCATATGTATATATATATATGCTGGAACCCCCAGAGAGAGGAGGGATCGAGATTCGAGTAGATTCTCCGATCCATTTCCCATTAGTGAGGTCGAGTCGGAGACTTAGTACTAGTTTGGAGTGAGAACATCCAAGTTGAACGTTGATTCAATCTAGGCGCCAGCTCCAATTAATACCAGCGCAATTACTTTTACTGTAGATGCAATGGGCCAAGAATCTGTTATGTATTATGTACAGAGTCACTGAAAACGTGTGAATTTTTTTATAACCCGTTCCCACTCTTCGGTTTATTTCTCTCACGTTATTTCTCTCGCGTTATGCACCACCACCTTTTTTTCGTCACTATTTTACGCTCCTCTTATCTCCAATTCCCATCGCACCATCTTTTACTCACACTCAACTTTCATCATTCATCCAAATCGGGTCCTGTAAACGTATGTCTCCCCGCCCCCTTTGCACGAACAGGGAGGGTCACGTACGCGTTGGGATGGCGTACCGATATTTGCACACCACAAATATTCACTTGTTTGCCCATTGTTGCACGCGCACGGTAGTCTGTGAAAGCGTACTTACGCTAAATCCAATGTCTTTCCCCCGGCCCCGCGTCTCACAGTAGTGTGCACGCGATGCCGATTCAATGACGTGACGTCACTAATAGCGCTTCTGCCCATGGCCCTTCCCGTGAGTTGATACCCTCCATACTGCGAAGTCTGTTGGTGACATCAGGTAATATAGTCAAATGCCGTACTTCGCACTTAATCCCATGCCGACACTTCCATAGAAGTTCAGTCCACTCCTCATCCTGGACATGCATCTATTGCGTCAGGCAAACCACTCTCTCGAATCAGGCATACAATTCGCTGCCGTTACTTGTTCTTTTCCATACCGTTGGGCCAATAAATTAGTGGTGTGCCTCCACCTTATCCTACTGGTTTGAATTAATGGAAATCCCATCAGGTAGTCCTTCGGGCCACCACATTCGTACGTGCCAACTCTTCCCTCCCACTTCCCCCCCTCGTGCGCCCAAATCGAAAAAAAAAACATGCAGCATTTTGCCTCTGACTCAGACTCGTTGCTTTGCCTGTGTAAGCACCCCAGTGCGTTCTTACCCGCAACGTTATGGCTTTTGAAATACTCCTTCATCACTCGTGATTCCCCCGTGCCCCCTTCTCCTGTCAGAATCATTCACAACGGCTCTAGCTCTTCTCCACACAGCCTCGCTGCCAGATGATACTGTATCCCCGCAGTTGATTCTCATACAAACTCGATACGTCTATAGGTCCCGAGGATCTCGATGGTGCGCGCCATTGCTCCTTTGCGTGCCCGCTCCGTCATGGCCCCATGAGGCCCAATTCTTCTGCGCTTGTTACCATCCCTGAGTCGTTTGGTGCTGACACCTTATTTCTGCCTCCCATAAGCCTTTGTAATCACGTCACGAACTTGTGCATGTCGCTTGCGCAGACACCTTGTTCCGATATCCTCCACTGTCCGAAAAAATTCGTCCATGTAGTACCTTCTCCATCTGCTGTCACTGGGCTATGAAAAGAAACGCTCCAAATAAGCTTTTCGCCCCACTTCCTCTCTGGCCTCTCCATTCCTCAATGCTTCAGACTCCCACTCCCCAGATGCTCCACCGATCATCTCTTTCCATGGTCTCCTCTCCCATACGATTGTCCTTATCTGCGCACCCTTGTACTCATATCTATGATTCAGATTGGATGCTGCGTACGTGGCCCTCCGGATGTTCCTCGAAACGATAGAATGCTTCACTCCTCTGCTCCTGTCAAATCCTCTAAGGTTTCCATAAGGCAAAGGGACACTCTACTTTAGTAGAGGCTACGTAAGGTGTCCTTGGCTTTGTGTTGTTATTTCTCGTTCGACACCTCTGTGCGACACGCGACGAACCTATGATCTGCCAAAAGCAAAGCACTGCACCGCGCAAACATGCTCTCTATCAGAGCGCTCTAGATAGTAATGATCAGTGATCAGAATTCTCCCTTGGCGGTTCTCTTCCAATGGATGCTGATCCATTATCCCGGGCCGATCATCAGCTATTCAGCAGCCCCTTCTGGTCCCCCACCCCAATACATGAAACCAGCCCTCATGACGGGTTTCGCATTCACCTGTTCCTTCTTAGCTTTACCACAAGGGCTCGTCTTCGAACTGCCAACGCAGCCCAACCCTGAGCGTGTATGCAACATTCAGATCAACCAAGTCACTCGCAACGCACCCGTGCAACCCCTGGATGTGGACAACTCGAATTTTTTCTTTATTAATGACTCTACTTGAGGTCTCGAAATAACGCTTAGTATTCACCACTATGTTCTTACGAAAAAGGGCTGGTTATATTCCTTTTTCGAGCCGCTGACCAGGCAGGCACTTGCTCGTGAGAGTCAACAACAAATACCTCCGAAGGTCCTAACGAGTTTGGGCCAAAATAGTGTTTGAGATTGGGGATCAACCGAATGTATTTATATTGTCGCTCTTATCCAAATCACCACTAACTCGCGGGCCTGTCGTGACATAGCGTGGACTTACATCGCACGTTAACGAGCAGGAGTTGGTTGTCGTACTTCAAAGCTTTGTTCACTGACGAGGGTGCTTCAACTGTTAAAATCCCATGAATATTACTTAAGTTGAAACAATGCGGTGCTAACTTTCTGGAACTTGAAACTCATTATGAACCCCTCGCCATCGGGTATTTCGAGGCCCCGGAAAGCGGTACATATATATATCTGGAATCCGTCAGCGTGATGCTGCTGACCTATCTGATCAGAATCTTCCGTTTTGGCTCTATCACTTGCCTCGCGTGATCCGCTCAGACCAAGACTGGCCATATTATTTGATTTCTACATCCTCCAATGTATTTATATCGACACCATAGAGAACAGTATCAATAGCATGCCAATAATTTGTTGCAAAACCATCGAGACTAGTAAACGTGATTGTTCATCCGCGCACATGTACAGCATAACCAGATCCAAACCGAACAATCCACATATCATATATCTAGCCTTTATACTTGTACTATCACATCAGGACAGATAGCTCTCGCGACCTAACTGGCACGCTGCCACAACAATTATAATTCTCCCTTGACGAGGCATTTTTCTTTGTTCATATTCGAAGACGCAAAAAAGTTAAAGGAGTATTCTAGTCAGATCCCCGGGGTCTCACTGAAGTGTGCATGAATCGATTTACCAGGAACAATGTGCGCCAGGGTTTGTCGATAGGCTTCATTACCTCCATCCGCTCTGGAAGTAAACATCTTCAAGTACTATTTCTAGCAAGCAATGGTGCCAGTGCCAGACCTACCATGTGATTACAGAACAGGACCCAGAGGAAGTTCCAACAGCGCATCTGAATGACATCCGCTGTAAGTAATTGTTCATATGTGGAAGTGAAACTCGTTCTGGCCCCGACATTCCGCTGACATATGGACGTTTCGTAGGGTTTGTACACTTTGGGGGGACACGCACCTGCATCGATGCCCAGTCTGGTTCCGGTTTCCACAGCGTTCCATCTTCGACGCACTTACTCACCTCCGTATAACTACCCTCCTGATATGGTGCTCAAAGCCATGGACGGTGTTTTATTCTATGTTCATAGGCATCTCCTTGAATACAAGTCTGACAATGGGTTCGGTGGGATCTTCGCAGGCGATATGAACACGGGCCCCCACGACTCACTGCCCATATACATGATCGCTGAAGCTTCCACCGTCGTCAATTGCATGTTACATATTCTTTACGTAGGTGGTCATTATTCCAGCCGGGCTTAGCCCGTTCGCTGATGTCCCTCTACTACAGAAAATGTCTTCCCGCCTCTATGCACCCGATCTTCCTACCATTTCCGAAACATTCAGAGCCCTGAGAGGATATGGATGCTCACTATCTGAGAACATTCCGCAGGGATCAGAGATATTCACGGATCTCATCGCACATGTGGCGGATCCGAACTCCGATGCCCTCGAAGTGTTCAAAATTGCGGCCTCCAACTCGTTTGAGGAGCTCGCGGTACCATCTTCATTCTACGCCCTCCGCACGCCAATTCCTTCCATTGACGAGGCAACGGCCGTAGCTATCGGCCCAACATACATGCTTCGTCTCTCTAAGCTTCACGACAACAGGCTACTCGCGCTAAAGAATCTCCTACAGGAACTTCCCGATATACATGAGGACATGCCAGCATGCGATTCAGTGAAGCAGCGTAGATTGAGGACATCATACTACCTCTTGGGTGCCCAACTTGCGTGCCGCGGCGAGCCGTTCATCACTGGCGCTTGGCTTGGTGCATGTTATGAGAAGCTGATACAAGAGGTGGGATGCAATACATGCAAGGGAAAAATAAGGGACCAAGTCCGAAACATAGTTGAGAAATGGGAGCAAGTTGAGAAGACTATCTGAGGCGAATGAGCATTTCCCTCGAACGTGGGTGCTTTTATTTCCTCGAACTTCTGATGTCCTTATCTCCACTTTGACCATTTACTTTTTTCACGGGTATTCTGCATCCCCCAGGGTACAAATATCTCTCCACAATCCATAGGCCAAACCTTGTGCTGGTGCTTGCAATCCCTAGCCTCCAAACCCGGAAATTACTGCGCGCTTGGCGCATCGCACTCCAGCTCCATTCCCCATCATGAGTAGCGTCCCGGTCTCATTGGTAATATAGGTGCAATGTACAGCGATGCGTCGTTCCTCCCAACGGGCCACATGGATTTATTGCGTTCCTGATCACCCATTCACTGCAACTCCCCCCATTTGAATTCGGCCAGGGCCACCCCCACACACGGGAACAGCACAACTTTTATGACGTAGTTAGTATGCACAATCATTAGAGTGGGGCGATATTGTTTTCTACGACTCGGCGTAATAGTACGTAAGCAAGGTCAGAACGTTAAGAGTATGATGAGCAAAGGCGCAGTGACTTGAATTCCATTTTCCAGCGTCGAAACCATGGGCATCCCCAAGCTACAAGGAGAGGTGGAGTATGAGCGACTTTAGCCAGTGTCATCTTAATGAGTAAGTGCTGTATCAGTAGCAACTAGTAAATCCCTTTGGTCTGGAAAAGGTCAATCAATTTCATTTGACTGCTGAGATTAAGAACCAGACTGTGAACTATATTAGAACGTTACGTTTTCGTGTCGCATTTCTTACGGTCCTTCTTGAGGGTACTCATCATGTGAATGTGCGGCTCGCGGGTGTCCCAAATCTGAGAAGGGTCTCGGGGCTCAGTGCAGCGGCCCACTGCAGCGGGAGTCCTCAAACGGTATTGAGCCTCCATCCATTGTCGGAATCCCTTTTCCAACGTATGATGGGAGGCCGTCATGTTCCCTCGGAACGCTGTGGCCGACAGTGAGAGCTCGCTCCCTCCGTCGGCATGTGCCGTACTGCATCAGATCAAGAGCCATTACATGTGTAAAGGCATGCAAGGACCCGCTATGAGTTGGACCTATAACTCTAGCCCTTACCGTCGAGTTTCCCGTCACCACCACTTCATCCTTGACATGGTTTAATCTCGATCTCGTCATAAACATGCCAGTTTTGCCAACCTTCAATCCGTTCCGTGCTTTATTGTCAATAACGAAAGTACCACCCGTTCGGACTCGCTCCTAGCTTTGTCTGCCTCAGTGGGGATAAGGTCGATGGCCCCTCCCGGTGTAAACCTAGGCAACGACTCTGTAGCTGGCTAGTGATAACTTTGGTGTTGCTCAGATCCGCATCGGCAGCGTTCCGCTGCACAATCGTTGCTTCAGTCTAGGTAGAGCGCACTCGGAGTTGGTTGCGCATCTCAACCCCCTTACTACGCTTGAGAGTGGGCTCTCTGCCTAGGGGTGGCCGTGCTGCCTGCCCAAACAGCTCAAACGGTACACTAACCGACCACGTTGATTGAACAAACTCACTCCCTGGTGAACAAGGCAAGCATCGTCCAACTCACCCCCGACGATGCTAATGTCCAGGTTCTCCTCGCCTTGATAGCCCCTGTGCGAAGGTACAGCAGAACCACCGAATGGGCGGAATAGGCCCTCGGCATTTAGTTTCTTATCGTCCAAGTGTTCGTCGTGATAGGCAGAGTTATGATGTGCACTGAAATGCACGGATCCACCTGACGAGATGCTTAAAGCACCTTCTGACATTACCGCATCAGAATTCCAGTAAATAAGGACAACAGCACACACATGCGATTGGTCCATTCCGGCATTGCTTAGTAGAGTACGAACCCGAGCCACCTCTAAGTCATGACATCGCATGCAACACACAATTGTTTGGTCCCTAAATAACGAGGACTCTTCTGTCTTATTTGCTAATAGCAATGGCCTGCCCAGCGTTCGAGTCAGCCTAACGTCACTTGTACAAGGTGCGATTGAGGAGAGAGGGGTTCCACATTCCCAAGAAGCTGGCCGATATGGTCACGCTGATTGTGCTGACTTCAGCAGATGGGCAGCCATGGGGAGATCCTTATACACGCCCCCGGTTACTGCGCTCCCGATTCGTACTTTCTTATCATGGGACGCTCAGGCTCCCAATATTCGATCCTCCAGGCGAGTATGCATACGATCCCGTGTGATCGTGTGATGAACATACCACACAAGTGCGACATTTATACCCTAGGGCGAGCACGATGAAGATTGGTAGGGCGAATGAAGTGGGATGGAAGATTCTGTTATGAGTTGTGAATCTCTTTTTCCACCTCTTTCACATTATTGAGGAGAGTTCGATTGCCCTCCCCACGATTCCACAGATCAAGGGCCACGAGTCCCATGTACGGGCGCGCTCTTTGCGATCCTTTTCTTGCTCGCGCACGGTGTAGAACTCGGAGATTGTTTGCTTACGTAAGCAAACTTCAGGCCCTCGGCATTCCCCACAGTACTCCTGGCCATTTGACCGGTGCTACACTATCTGTCATACTTACATAGAAGTTCGAGAGGGAGTGGATGGCCCCTATGGGCCATTTACCAGACGGACGGCATTTCCGGTGAACGGGCAGAAGACTAAAATCCGTTCATTGCTTTACAACCATATCTCGCATCATCAACGCAACACCTAGGCCTGCCTGTCCTAGGCGATGTTCTTCGTCCCTCTGCGGCAGAGGGCATTTTAGAAGCAGGAATATCTACCTCGACGTTTTCCTTGTCAAATCAAGAGACTTGGAGAGAGCAAGTCCGCTGCTGATCTGATGCGATGCGCGAAGGAAGTTTGGTGTTTTACTCTCTACAGCACACATTTTTGTTATCATTGTTTTCTCCTGATCGAGGGGGAGAGATCGTACGTCGTTACCAAGAATCTGAAGTGCATCTATATCTATAAAGGGGCACTTAAGAACGGAAGATGAACTTGTTCTGTTTGAAGGCTGAGTCTGTCGATTCGTTTTGTATATGTTATTGGTATGACCGTCAATCGCAGAAAATGCTGTTTTACCTCACAGGTCTCGGACCGGGTCGCCATCAGCGCATTCCAAATTTCGATCAGCCATTTCTGGCTATGGTATGATGCTCAGGCTGCGCAGAAGGGTGCACTTAACGCGGCTAAGTCTTTCCTGGTCTGACATACGAGCCTGCATGGTCTGTTCTGTTATCTATCAAGTATCAATAATAAGCGCTGTACTAATTGTGCCATGGGCCGCCGGTGCTATCCCTGGTCTTGATTATTGGCACTCGAGCTCGGAGGGGAAGGGAGAAATTCCATCTGACAGATGGAAATATGAAAAATTGATATCGGCGGTATCTCGCATCAATACGACGTTATGAATTAATCAAGACAATTGTACGGGCGTCGTCAGCCACGGTGATTTCCTTCATGTCCATAAGCCATCATGTACGTCTCATTGAAGGGAACGACGTGTTACTGGGACAAGGGATATGGTCTGAGCGTTCATGAGATTTCCGCGCGTTGCATCCTAGCTTTCTCTATGAACTGGGGATACATATCGGGCTGGAGGCTACAATTTACATCGATATCGATACGTCCTCGACTTAAGCTTCCCAATCAATAGGGCCGACTGCAACGTACTTGCCCTATTTATGGGTGGAAACCAAGAAGGCGTTATTCGCCTGAAGCGTGGGAGTGTTCGCGGCGTGCAGTCCATGCCACCCTTGTACTTATAGGTTTCACCATTCTGAACCGGCGGATCATTGCCATTTCATTTCAGGTTGGACGCCGTAGTTTAAGCAATGGATTTGGTCATTGAGAGGACAGAGGAATAGAGGGGATCGAAGATAGGGAAATGGTTAGTAACATCATAGGAGCACAACATCAGGGGCGTGTGTAAAAGCTGGGCATAGATACAAGATATAATGGTACTGATTAGACGAAGAACGAAGTTTCCCCAATTTTGGGGTAAATCATCTATGATGAGGTAAATTTTGGCGTATCAGAGTAAAGCAAAATGACAACCCAATCCAAGGGTATACAATCTCGAAGGGAGATACTAGGTGTTTGTCAGCTCGTCAAGAGCATGGGCATCGTTGCTCCCATTCTGTCTACAACAATGATCGACTTGTAACGTTCGGCCCGCCGTCCGTCCGACCGTACCATATTCCTCGTGGACATGTAAGCTGAACCAAGCAATTTCCGCTAGTGGGTGGTGTTGTCCTCTGTCGCGCATACATCCAGGGGGGACGACGGGGGAGGCACAGAAAGGCAGCGGCTCGGTGACGTGCGCAATCGGTTACATAACGTTAGGGCTGGCACGGACTCCAGATAGTGGGGCGTGAAAGAATCTTCTAATACTCCTTCAGAGCATGTTTGCGATGAGGATGGGGATCCACGTCGGGAGGTATGGAAGTGGGTATCCAACGAGGCATGCCGGAGAAATGGATTTCGAGTGTGTGAACGTGAGATTGGGGAGGGCACTGCAGCATGAGTAACAAAGAACAGGTGTTACAAGTCAGAGAGTGTGTTTGTATAGGTGAAAAGGGCAACTTACTGAGGTGGTGGTGTCCGAACGAAAGAGAACTTGACGGTTCATTGTGGGAGTAATGCTTGAGGTTGAAAACGCTGCTGTCGATTGTGAGATGCTTACGGCGGCGGCGATCATGCGAGTGCTGGTGGCGGTGTCCATCGGCGGGATCGAAATGACCGCTCGGGTCACCTGTCGCAGACGTCGCCGAGCGCTTTGCATTGGGGGCATGGTGAGCGTGAGTATGGTGTGGTTGGCGATATGGATGGGGTCTTGTGCTTGCGCGAGACGATCCTTCAGAGGTGGAGCACGAGCCGGAGTCACTGGACGTTGTGGTCGAGTGGGATCTGCGACCTTGCCTCAACAAAGGATTGGGTCGAAGAATCCCCAAGAACTCTTCCAAAGCCTCGTCGCGCAAGCCAACGAAGGCTTCACTATTCCAGTGGGGCGAACGCGCATCCGTCTTAGCAACACCGACGCTTTTCGGAGATGGAAGCACACACCTGCCGGGTTTCTCGTGTTGGACTGGATCTGAGGAACGTGGTAAAGGTTCCTCAAGCGATATGGCAGCAACTGCTTCTGTCAGGGTTGGGGTATGCTTGACGATGACTGGTGCTGCGGCAACGAGATACGGCCTGACCGGTATCGGTGCAGCAATCATGGTTCCGCTTGTCGCTCGCGTGCGTTGTGACTAATGTTCAGGGGTGAGGACGGCTCGATGCCGTAAATGAAAATCCCGGAGTTGTTTCCGAAGATTTCGGTGCGTCGGCGAAAATAAACAATAACAGTCGTTCCTCGCCTCCGTCACGTCCGTGACTCATGTCCACAGCGTTCAGACCAGTTGTCAAGCGTACTTACGGACGTTCGGCAGTGACTACGCGTGCCATTCCATCCTCTCCTCGCTCGGAGTACTCATCTGATCCGCTGGAGGCATTGTTATCGCCACCTAAGAAACGTAAACGCGACGCGTCGCAGTTCACTGCACTCTTCACCAGGACCAACGCTATCACTCAGCCACCCGCAAAGAAGCCCAAAACACAAACCAATCCATCTTCAACGCGTTATAACCCTAACAGCAATGTTGCAACGAAAAAGATACCAAAGCTTAAACAGCTCCATTTGACACTCGCCCAGACATCCGTTCGTCAATGCAACTCATGTGGACTATCGTACACTCATGGTGCACCAGAGGACGAAGATCTTCATCGAAAGTATTGCGTGCGCGTATCAAAAGGATCGGAATGGGGACGGGAGGAATCGCGTGCGGAAGGCAAAGAAGCTGAGGTCATCGAAAAGGACATTCCGCTTAAGAATAATAAAATGCGAGGAAGAGTTGTAGCCTTTAGGGCGGACGCCTCTGGGAAACTTGGGTCTAAAGTGAGTATCGTAGCCATTCTACCGAACGCGACCCCCGACTAACATGATACGTCCCATTGTGTCAGCTTTCTATCATCCTACAAACAGTCAACTTCACGCTCTCTGCACCGGATCTCACTCCGGATGTCCTCTCCCAATCCAAGGCCTATCTCTTTCTCGTCCCCACTCCGGGAGCACATCCCTTGCGTGAAAAGATTGTGGGGTGCCTCATCGCCCAGCGCATCGAGACAGCAATGGAAGTTGTCGATCCAGAACGCTTATGTTCGTTAACGAATGAGCAGAGTAGCGCGAAAAACACGCCTTTCTCCCGGTCAGGCATAAATCTGGATAGCCTTGTTTGCGTACAGGATTCTACCGATGGGTCCCAAAGTGGGGGACTTTTCTGTTTACCCAATCCTGTACCCACGCCGCTCGGTATTCCACGCATATTTACCGCATCTTCGTATCGACACCAAGGTATTGCACAGCATCTTCTCAACGCCGCCACACGCACATCCATTCATGGCTGTGTTTTGGATCCGAGCAAGGGCCAAGTCGCCTTTAGTCAGCCGACAGGGGCTGGGAGAGGGTTGATGGAGAAGTGGGGTGGTGGGATGGTCAGAATCTACCAAGAGTAGGGAACGTTGGTGGGGTCGAGATATTTATCTTGTTAAGTATTTTTCTCCGTTGTGTGCCTAATTCGATTTGCAGTCCTTTTGCTTCGCATTGAGATGAAATCAGTCAGCCAGGGCTCGGATAGCTTCTCGCCGAGCGTTAATCCTTGGATTTTCCGTTCGCCTAACCAGCCAAGGGGATGACGCGGGAACCTCTTGATATTAGTCAATGCACAGGTTTCCATCTCCAGTATATGAGGCTGTGGTTTCAAATATGATCATGCCTCAGAACGTCCCCATTCGCGAGTGCATTAGGTTCTGGGCGATTACCATTACTCACACAGGTCTTGCCGCTTCACGCTTCTTCTTTTGCAGAAGAGAATTGGTAGCGAGGTGAATGAATTGAGCCTTGTTTCTCGCTAAAGTTCAATCACTCTGATGTATGCCAGGAGTACCGCAAACTGGAATGTTGTGCGTAACATACTCCCCCCAAGGGGTGACATCAAGTAAAAGAGTCTTTCAGTGGCCACCTGTGAATTCTTTGACACTATGTATGTTTGTTGGTGAAACTCTTCAACCTGGAGCCACTTTTTGAGCTACATGGGTATCGGCAAGCGGTCCCATAACCACCGAACGCGTACACCCACCGCCGCAAGTGCTCCTGGAAAGGTATATCCAGCGCAGCTTCTCAATTAGTAGGCCGCTATGGGTATCCTTTTGAGATTTTAGCCGAACCCCAAGCCAGGGACTATCCGGGCATTCGATTGCATAAATACCCACCAAGGCTCCATGGTCTTCTCAAGCGGTAATATGAATCGCTTTGGAACCCGCAACGGGATTCATCAAGGTTGTTGGGCCTGTCGCACTCGGAAAAAGGTGAGTGTGAAACAATCTGAAGATCGTTGCGCTTCGTTTAATCGTTCTTTCGACACTCCGGACATTGTATACGCCCCTGCCTCCCCAGAAATGCTCGCTCGACCCCTTGAATCTGGGGTCTTGTGATGAGTGTAAGAGGCTTGGCATCAAATGTTGTGGATTTGGAGCCAAACTAACAATGGTAGCGTATTGTGCTTGTATGCCTTCTCTTCCCATTGTTAGAAATCCCTGTTGTGGGATGACTCTTATGGGCGGCAGATCTGAACTTTGAATGTTATCATAGGACAAAGAGACCCTCGCTGAATTCAAGAGGGAGATAAAGATAGCGATCATGCACACCCGCATGGCTCAACGACGAGCTCGAGGTAGTTTTCGTTATTGTGGTAAAGGAGGTGGGGGCCAGACTGACTCTGCATCACCCATAGCATCGCGCGCCACTCCGCGTGGACCCCGACCTAATGCTAACATTCCCGGAGGTCCAACCGGCGGCGCACATGTCAATCTTTAGCAGCTCTGAAGTCATTACGCCTTATGCATGTCCAGGCACATATGACGATGCACGCCCTTCTAGTCCTGTTCGTTCATTAGGCAAGATCCCAGCCTTTACTAAAGCAGATTCGTCAATTCCCATGGAATGATCTCCGGGATAGGCTGCGCCACGTGGCACTTCACCGTGCTCTCCCCTCTCCAATAGCCCTGCTGACTGAGCGCCTACCCAACTAAATCACGACTCGTATCCTCAGGGAAGCAAGAGGTTAAAGGCGGAATAATACAGCATATCCGAGCTAGGCTTATGTTCATGGCGGGGAGACTGTTTGCGAGTAGTGAAATCAAATCTGTCAAATGTCTCAGAAATTCATTTCTTCGATCGTAACGATTGATCATATAAGCTTCAAAATCCGACGTTGATCGTTCGAAAAATGACTCGAGCGCGATTGGATCCCATGTGACAGGTTGGCGCACGGGCCTCCACCCCGTCTGGGCGACTCAGCATCATCACCAACTAATTTTGCGGGTGCACGGACTGCAGCCTTAGACCTGCGCACTGAACTGGTCAGCATTCTAGAAATCAGGTCTATTGTGGGACCAAGGAGACTGGACGCGCCAGATTAAATTGACTTGCAATAAGTGAGGGTGTCGAGATGATTTGAATGAGATGAGACTTCGGTCAAAGTTGTTGCCCAGATACCCACCCGAGAGAGTAGATGCCTTCCATGCTTCATGTGTCTCGCAATAGTTATTCTCCCTCTGGGGAGAAACCCGAGGCACGCACGGATGCTATCTTATCCTTTTTCTCAAATCCTGCAACACCTTATCAAGGGATCATCACTCTGCTACGATGTCGAGAATATATGCAGGCTAGGTTTCCACGCCAGTGCACAGACTATCACATGAAGCCGAGCGATCCGGTCGTCAACATTGGCTGTCGCCCGCAGAAAGGGACTAGTCTAATGTCCACTAGTTTCATAGGTATTGGTGGTTATCACCACACTGATCACCTATATCGAGTAAAAAGTCCAACGCGTGCCGCACGATGAAGGCAGATAAGACTCAGTAGCGGAAGTGGCTCTCAGAAACCGAGCCGGTACCCGAATCACACTCACTAGCCGCGCAGCTTTTTGTTCAGGTGACGAAATGTATTCGTTTCTCCGATATTCTCCCCGATCCAAACACGCTTCCATTGTCCTCTTAGTCAACCTCTTAGCGATCGATCTTGCGATCAGTCAGTTGGCACTAATCGCTGCACGACCGGAGATTGGTAGCTGGAAGTGTGCATCTTCTGTTGACCTCACACAGAGACCTTCTAAATGGCAATGTCTTCACTACTCTGCTACTGCGCCTCACCACAACATTACCGATCTGTCACGCTTGGGATCTGGGCTATGATTGGCCATTCCTGACCCGTTGTCCACGAAGGACATGCCGGTCATCCCTACACAACAGCCGCAGGTGACAGCTCAACGCTTGTTGCCGGCTGCTCTGAGCTAGCCACCATTCCTTCGACTCATGTTCGATCATTGGCGGTTGAGAATCCTTTGCTTTGTGTCAACGCTCCTAACAGCCTAGGCAGGATCCCAGCCTCTACTAAAGTAGACTGGCAGCCACTATCAACATTCGGCATCCGACACTTCCACATTTTCGCAAATCGTTTGGAATTTCCAGGAGAAGGCTTCCTTTGTATATAGCTCCAATCAACACATGGCTAATAATGTTGACCAACATTCCGAATGGGCATGCTTCTGAGGCGTCATACTTCGGATCGTTCTTCGGAGATTTTAGGTAATATCATTTATGGTGACCGCAGCAAGCCTTCGACGCGCAGATGGCGTTCCACTCCGACGCGCGGATCAATGGACATCAGCATGCAACTTCGCATACTCCGCAAATGGCTCCAACCCAGACCGCGCGGTGCGCGTACGGAACGTCAGGAAGTGTCGTTAATGTGCCTTGCTAGTGCATTTATTTCCTCGGAACTCTTGTCGCCTTCTGGTGATTTAATCGAGGTGGATTCGCCGGCTCTTGATTGAAGTTGTAATTCAAGAGAATGAGCATGCATGAAACTAGCCCGGGAGTGGACCCTCGGAACAGCAGCGATATACGATAGCGCAGCTTCTCGTTAGCTGTTTCGACATACCAAAGAGTTGTCTTGCAACCATGCCCCACCCTTCAAATGTATTCAATCGTGCTGCCAAAGTCCCTCAATAAATGCCTTCACGCCACACGCCACAGGGTGGATTGTGCGCGCGGCGAACGTGCCATCAAGCCCTATCAAGGAATGAGCCATAATTTCGTTGTATATCGCCAAATCGGATCGGTTCTCTGGACACATGGGTTCCGCTGCCACAAAACCCAGCTTTGTCAATCTACTTGAACAAAGAGCTCATAATGATTTTCTATATATGGATGCTCATATGATATCACCTTTGTCGGTCCCGCGCACCTCAAATTCACTGTTCCAGGTGAGCAGAGGTTTGCTCCTTGTTGTCTGCTTCAGGCAAGTGCAAGTGGAGTATTGAAAAATTTGGGGTCCGCTGATATTTAAGACGAAGAGTTGGCGGCAAAACTGGTTTTCTTCAAGGCCATCCCCCTCACCTGGATAACGTCAGTTCTGCAACTCGTGTTCACTTCTGTTCCCCACCCAGTTTTACCCATGTCGGAAACTAAATTGGTATGTCCCCCCCTTTTGCCTTGCTCGTGGCGAAACAACTAATGGCTTCTGCTCTCAATGCTACCTCACGAATTTGCCTACTGCCCCGATTGCTGATCGATCATATTCATTGGTCACCAATCACGTCCTTCTCATAGTCTTCTTGTGCGTGCCACAGCAGTTAACCTTTTTGGGGATACTTGGAAACTGATTTGTGTGTGGGTGTTTTGGGTTCTCCAAATGCAGATCAAGAGGAAGGTAAGCTCCGGCTTTCCAACTCGCTCTCTCTCTCAAGTAGCCTTTCTCTCCAATTAGCGTTTTCGCAAGTCTTTTATGACTGTCGTGCGAATTACATTGGTTGGTTCCAACTCGATGACGGAGAAACTCTGGATCTGCCCGAGGACTCGCTGCCGATCGAGGAGTTGCCGAGTTTGTTGCGGTCTATTCGTTATGAGATGACGGATGAAGATTGGGAATGGTTGAAGGATACGGAAAGTATCCATATCGAAGATTTTAAGACTTTGTTGGCTTACAAAGTCGGAGGGCCGGATGAGATATTGGGTTCGGCTCCACCTAGTACGTTTAGCAATAAGTTTATTCGTAGGTTTTCATCTGACGAACATTCCCGAAGAGCGCGAAACTTCGGAGGTGCCATACCATGAAAATGAGGGAACTAGTACTCCTGAAGATCCTGTCGGTGCGTGCCTCCCTTTCCCTAGATCCTGCCAGATGGTTAACCAATGTTTTCTTCCTGTTTCCTTCCCTCACTCAGATGACTCTGAAGTAAGTTGCGTACTCTCATGATAAGAGCTCCAGCTGATGCTTATCCCTTAAGTGGTGGACCAATCCTGCTACTGCCTGGCCAGACCCTATCCCTGATTGGGGAGTTATACAGTACGCCGCCGTGGAAACCGCCCACTGAGCAACCATGGCTGCTTCCACCTTCGGCTATGGGGGGGTTCACACCGACACGCCCCCATCAACGCCTTATGCGTGGAAATATGTCCAATAGCTTCCCCACACTCTGTCACGCCCAGCAGGCCCGAAATGTCTTCATCGATTGAATTTCCGAACGTCATATGTATTATAATCTTTTGATACCGAACAAGAGGCTTGCACGGCAATGAGGTCTGGCTCGCGGGGTGAGAGGAGTCAAGGAATGATCTGCATCATACATTGGTGTTCGCGATTCACAGGTGACGGATCCGACAGGGCATTCGAAGGATCTCAGGATAACTGTCCCACTGAAGTTGATCAGACAGCAAGTGAAAATACAAGTAAGAAAAACGAAAAAAGGTTGACCCGCAAATACAGCTCTACATTTCAAAAGTCATTTAAATTAGCAAGCAGATCGAACATGCCCCGCTTTGTGCCGTGCGAACTCTGCTTTCCTACACCTTTACCTTTAGAAGACTCGGCAGTGATGCTGTGCCTTTTCCCCTTACGCGCCTCTCCTCTTGTCTTAGCGTCCCCGCGGGTGTCTCCTACGACGTGCCCACGATCTAGGAGTCCTTCTATCACTGCTTCTAGGACATAACTGATCTCTTGCCCCAAAGATGCTGGGGTATGCGCGTCGTGATACCCCACGCTGGATGGCTGCCGTGCCAGGAATGCATGGAATCGTGAGCCAGAGAATTGCAGAATGGACGAGAGATCAATTGAATCCCCCGTACCATCTTTGGGATGGGTATCGCCCAGGAGTAGTGCCCGAGCGAGCAAGTTGGCAGCTTCGAGGGCTGCAAGAATTTGAGAGGTGAGTACAATAGAGCGCGCAGAAAGCTCCGCTGGCGGAGCGACTTCTACCCCTTGTGTTCCATTAGCTTGCGCAGGTGAACATGCGAGGAGGAAGGCCCGTCCTTCTGACACCGTCCATCTAGGTCTTGAAGGGGTGGAGTGGGACATGGACAGGGAGACGGTGATAATCGTGTGACGTAAGGCGGAGGCAAGGAGGATCCACTGCGAAGGTAATGCTCGCATGCGGGAGGTGTTCGAGGAAAGTGCCATCAGCAATATTTCCAATCGGGACGAAACTGACTGCAATTGAATAGGGTGAGTGTCATCATCGTGACGGTTTTCTATGGGAAGACCTTGCAGAACGTCATCTATAGCCAATGCTGAAGACACGAGCTCGTGAAGCGGTGCGATCCGCACAGGCACTGCGACAAGGTGAAGACCATGACGGATGTACTCCGTCACATATCGCGGACCAGTCCTCCTCGGTACATTGCTCGACGTGAACGATTCCGCTATTTCGGACCGATCCACAGCTGCTAATCCATCGAGAGGTTCATGGAGAGGCGCGTGGATTTGAAGTGTTTGGAGCTTGTCACGCAATGCAAGCAAAGGATCTTGGCTGTCCTCCCGTGACCGCTCGTCGGCGTGCTGCGATAATCCTTCAAAACCCTCATCGATATTTTCCTCATCGCTGACTTCCTCCACCACGTCAATGAGTTCGTCCTCGTCTTCCCCAGTCACAACCTGGCTTTCCACATGTGCGGGTTCCTCTTCATCTCCAATACCATCAAGGCCACTAGCCAAAGCGGCGTACATCCACTTGCGAATTGATCCACCAATGAAATTTGCGGGACTTTGAACATCGGGGTCCTCAAGAAACGGAAGCGGCCATGTAGTGGCAGATGTATAGCATCCCAAGATGTCATTATGCAAGTCCCCAGCACGATAAGCCTTTGTAAACAACTTCTGAACTTGCAGCTGACTATCATTGGCTGGACTAACGATCAGATTCTCGAACGGCCCGACACCTGGTAGATCCACCGGAACGAGGTATTGAAAGATAGCATCACGAATGATGTCCGAAATATTAAGTACCTCCTTTTCACTGAGATTTCTTAACGACAAGTTTGAAATGGCAGCGTTGATGAGCGCAGAGACGTTGTCGCCTCCTTCGCTTTGCAACCAAGGGGCCTTGCGTCTATGAGGCTTCTTCGTAGGATTAAAGATATCATGAATGACAGAGGCAACTCTGTGGACACGGTCAGGAACCGACATGGACCTTGGGAAAAATGTGGAAGTGAAGTCTGGGGTGAAGTCGTTGCCAAGAAGGGAGGACATGAGAGGAAGGAGTCCATGACTGATCCTAAGGGTTTCAGCGAGCCTCGCTGGATGGTAGACAGAAACGGAGAAAACATCGAAATTTTGAGGCGGATTGAGGCATGGGCCGGACAGTTGACGCGTGGCTTTGGGCTTCTTCAAACGGGCCCCTTGGAATCCATCATCATCCACGATTGATTCTGAATCATCTGGCGTTGCAATCCAAACTGCTTCGTCAAAGGGTATGTATCCCTTGTGGTGGGCATTCAGGATATAGTAGTCGGAATCTTGCGCCAACACATATCCGTTGTGGATGGCAGCCAAAGCGACGCAGTCGGGATCCCCTTCGCCGTCGCATATGAAGTAACGGACTCCTTCAGAATAAAGATTCTTGATCGCGGAGAGGCAGGCGTCTTTGGCAAATGGGACGGAAATCCTATGCGCGCTCAGAAAGCTAGAGGAAGATCGAGAAACCGATGATGTCCTGAAGAAGAGGTTGGCGCCATGTATACGAGTCTGCTGTATTCTTTTCCTCACAACTGGAAATTTTATCTCCGATGCAGGACCTGCATTGTGAGGGCCATGGAAAATCAGCTTCAAAGAGGTTTAAAGTGGAAGTACCGTCAAAGACAAAATGTGGGGTAAGACCGACGGACAGCCACGCTCTGCACACCCGTCCAACAGCGCTTTTGAGCGCGCCATACTCTCCTCCATAAACCCAAGGGATTCCGCATTGAGTCTGCAAAGTATAGAAGAAGCTTGAGGACAGGCGCGTGAGCCGCAACTGGGGTTCGTTGGACTAAGACAATGCTGAACGCCTTACGAGTAGCCATCCACCACCAACACCTCTTTCACACGAGAGCTCCCTTGCTCAAAAACTACGGTCTCCGCTAGACTTGGCTTTCCCTTCACGAATGTAGATAAACCTTGAACCCCCATCCGAGTGCTTACATAAGTAGAATCACGAGTACTCAGATTACTTATTACAGAAGCTGAATGGCGTGGCTGTGCCTGTGACAAACGAAATTTCCCGGAGTTTTATTGAACGGTTTGCCTATCCGCTCGTGTTCTGACTTAGATGAGCGCCGCTCGGGCGGCTGTTAGGAATGCCGGAACACGTCTAAGGCTACCCCGACCACCGGTATGCTTGATTCACCAAGTCTGATGATATCTTCCACACCCAACCATTGCCCGGCGCAGACTGCTTTTACTGCTCCTTCGCCTCCTGCACCGCGGATCGAATTTGAGCCAACCCCTCAGAGGCTCAGCTTGAGTCTTGGCAGTAGCAAGCCACCTAAAGAAGCCCTATCTAAATGGACAAAATCACGACGCAATGGTAAGTTTGACTGGTTTCACAGAGTTCCTTCGCATCAATTCCCCTCTGGACATGCGAACCAGTGCCCCCAGGTCCCCCTATCCCATTGTCTTCATCGGTTTCCTCGGTTCACCGGCCGAGGACCGGCGGCCTGGAGTCACCGGAAGTCGTCCGAGGTGTTTGGTCTGAGGAAGACCCTCAATATCGAGGGAGAAAGGTGATAAACAGAGGGAAGCGTACAGGGAGCCGTAAGTTCGCCGAGACTGAGCCGGAGCACTCAAACAAGCGACGACAATGGAATGGCCTTTTTCAGCATACTACTCTGGCACAAGCAATCAAGAAGCCAAAGAAGACTACCACGAAGAACAAGATTCAGAAAAACGTTTACATACCAAAGAACATTACGGTAGCCAATTTCGCTCGCTCGCTTGGGGTGCCGCACAGTGAGATTCTCTTGCACAATTCATCCGGAGCGTACATTCACTAGCTTTTCTAGAGCGTTTGCAGTCGAAGATGGAAAATAACGGTATGGCCAATGTTAACTCGAATTATAGTATGTTATTTCGTTTTGCCTGCTCCCATGAAGCCTACGATTGTTGTTGCAGTGCTTTCTTCAGATGACGCATATCTGCTTGCAATCGAGTTTAATCGTAACCCAATCGTAGACGAGGAGGCTGCGTTTGACCTCTACCCTTCGCAAGTCGCTTTATAGTGATGTGTTGTAGACGTGGCTGACATCGACACAGACCCTCTCTCGCTGATAAATCCCTACTTCCTCCCAGACCCCCCGTTATCACCATCATGGGTCATGTTGATCATGGAAAGACGACTTTACTAGACACTCTCCGTTCGGCATCAGTTGCAAGCGGAGAAGCTGGCGGTATTACACAACACATTGGCGCATTTAGCGTTCCAGTGAATTCTCTAGTCATTTCCAATGGCCCCTCTGTTGATACTCTTGGAAGTATCACATTCCTAGATACTCCGGGCCATGCAGCATTTACTGCGATGCGGTCTCGTGGTGCCCACTCCACTGATATCATTGTTCTAGTCGTTGCTGCTGATGACGGGGTCATGCCTCAGACTCGTGAGGTTATTGCTCTAGCAAAGCAGAGTGAATTATCTGGAGAGGGAAATATAGGTCTCGTTGTGGCCCTAAACAAGATGGATAAGCCTGGCGCAGATCCTGTATGTCGACTATCAGTGGATCTTTGGGTGTCTCCTCACTAGTTTAGTTCATTAGGTTGTCATTAAACACGCGCTTCTTGCCGAGGGCGTGGAACTCGAAGAGTTTGGCGGAGACGTCCCTTGCGTAGAAGTTTCTGGGCTGACTGGTATGGGTCTGGATAAGCTGGTGGAGACGTTGGCCACTCTCGCCGAAATAAAGGAACTCCGAGCACGAGTGGATGGGGCAGCAGAGGGAATAGTTTTGGAGAGTCGGGTGGACAAGGGGAGAGGGTTCGTTCCCTTTTCCACTCTGCCCATCCCATGCTGATTATAGGAAACTGTCGTTTGAAGGGCCGTCGCCACTATTTTGGTCACGAATGGTACTCTCAGCTCTGGCTCCCATGTGGTTGCTGGTACAACATGGGCCCGCATACGCCAAATGACAGATTCAACAGGGAACCCTGTTTGTTCTGCACTGCCTGGGACTCCAGTGACTGTTTCGGGATGGAAGGAACTCCCCCTGGCTGGAGATGAGGTTCTGGAAGGCAAAGAACATGAAGTCAAAACGGCAACTCGGAACCGAAAGCGCAATCTCGAGATGAAAGCCCTTCAGGCGGACGTTGAGTGCATCAATGAGAAGCGTGCAGAAGCAAGGGAAGGAGCTACTTCAACGAAGGCTGGCTTGCTGCACGCTGTTTCTTGTAGCTCGACATCACCACAATCCAGTGTCAAAGAGTTGCGACTTATTGTCAAAGCGGATGTCAGTGGCTCCGTAGAGGCAATTGTTGGGTCGATTGAAGGAATAGGGAACGACTTGGCGAAGGTTCGCATTATCCAAGCCAATGCTGGAGAACCCACCGCGGCGGACGTTGATGTGGCCAAAGCTGTTGATGGTATGTGAATTTGACTTCTCCATCAGTGTCCTTTCGGCAATCCTTGATATTATTTGGATGTTGAGGCATGATACTTGGATTCTCCGTCCAACCCAACAACAAAGTTCTCTCTTATGCTTCATCGCAGGGAGTGTTGATACAATGCAATTCTATCATTTACCGAATTATCGATTTGGTGAGGTCGAAAGTGCAGGAACTTTTGCCTCCAATTGTGGAATACCGCGTCCTCGGTGAGGCTCTCGTTCAGCAGCTGTTCCAAATCCATGGGAAGCAGAAGAGCATTATCAGTGTTGCTGGGTGCCGAGTAACGAATGGGATTATCGAAAAACATAAGAAAATTAGGATCATTCGAGGCGAACGAGAGGTTTACAATGGTAAGTTTCCAGAACTTTCATATCTTCATGTCATGCTGAATAGTCGTCTGTCAGGATCTCTCGATACTCTGAAGCAACTGAAGAAAGACATCACAGAAGTACGGAAAGGATCAGAATGCGGGATGTCATTCACGAATTTTGCAGGCTTCAAAGATGGCGACCGCATTCAAACTTACGACGTGATAGAAAAGCCGGGACGGCTTGTCTGACAAGAAAATTAGAGTAGCTTACTTGTGCCATTTAGAGTTGTCATGATAATACGTCCTCCCTTCTTTGGACAATTGATATTTGTGACTGCTTTGGTTCCCACTCCGTATCAAACAAGCGAGACGCACGGTGCTACTTCGGTTCAGCTTTTACCTTATTGTCTAAATCAAACACGGGCGTCGTCGCACCGGTTCTACCGCCCACTCCGAAGGTCAAACCGTATCCGGGGGGCAAGTTTGCTATGGTCGCCTCAGAGGGTTTTTCCAGGAATGGCCAAGAGGTGGCGGAGGCTTTATCTAATAGAAGGTCAACCTAGACCAAGGTTAGTAGACAGAAACAATGCGAGGCGGATCGAATGGGTCAGACCCACTTTTGTGCCAAAAAAGGTGAAGCTTGATGAGTCCGGATTAATGGAGTCATATAGGGTCAGCGTCTGCATAAATCGTTTTGATTGCGGAAGTGAAAGGTCAAGGTGGATCTGGACAGCACATGGAACTTAAGAGATACCGGGAATTGACAAAAAGATGGCTTGCCAACCTCATCTGGGGCAAATATGATCTTGCTCTTGTCCTTGTCCGCCTTCTTTGCGTAGACGGAGACATGAACTTTGTCAGGTGTTTGATAATGATCAATACGGCACTTGACAAACTCCCCGAATCCTTTGCCCTGGTTTGAGGTTCTCCATCAGTCAACCTGGCCGGGTGAAGTGAGTATGAGCGAGAACATACTGAAGTCCCAACGAGCGCTTTCTTCACGAACACATGCTTCCCTGTCTTGCAACCTTCTATCTTGAGAAAATCGTCGAAGTCGAGCACCCTCCGTTTGCAACACATATACCCTTTGCTCCCTTCATGGAAAATGGGCTGCAGGAGGATATTAACTAATTTCGAATAGTGATGAGACGGTTTCGTACAGGCAATGGGTGATATGTGCAAACAGAATGCTCTCCGCCCTCTATCCGGCTCTCCTTTTGGCTGAGAAACTCTGTTCCGCATCCTTGACGCAGACATTTAGCGCCAGGCGACACACCAACATCGACATCATCCTCATCCTCCACAGGTGGTGGTGGGGTTGCGGATGGAGTAGGGTTGAGACTCAATTGAGAAATCATTAATAATTGCTCGTTCTTGAAGGTCTCTACGCCATTCTCCGATGTCGTTGTGATGGGCTTCACCTTAGGCTGCGACGCTGTTGGCTGGGTAGAAATGGTGGACGTTTGTGGCGCACTTTGCTTCGGAGCTTGAGAAGAATGACGCCCTTTTGTGCACCCCTAAGTCAGCTGTGGGTATGCTTATTCTTCAAAGGTTTGTTACTCTCGCAGTAGTTACACACCGGGATTTTCATGAAGTCATCGAAGTCGAGGACAGGCTTGTTCACATCATTGCAGCAGCCCCAACTCTTGAGACCTTCGTGAAAGATCTAAATATCACAGGCACGAATCATAAGTAATGCATTCACGACAAACCCTAGAACTCACTGGGCCTCCAGAATGGAATGAACACGCGTCGCCCGAGTTTGCCTCTTCGTCGAACTCCTTCCCACAGCCTTTGTTAGTACATTTCACCATTGCTGAGCTTTCTTATGTGTGTTACAAGGCGTATCTTGCGCTTCACTGCTTTAAGAACTCTCTAGAAAATGTTTACGGAGGTAGGATCGGCGATTAGGTCCCGTGATTAGACCCTATCAACTTCCCTAAAATGCCTGTCCATGACAGCAGCTATTCTCAGCCCACGCAACAACAAGACCTTTCTGTTGTTCTAGTAACAGGATCTTACGATCACGAGATACGATTTTGGGAAGCCTGGAGTGGGATTTGTTCACGAACCATCACCAGGGATGAAGCCGGGGTAAGAAGTTTATTTCCCAAGCCAACAAGCTAAAGTGTACTTACGCGGACACACCAGCAAATAAACAGATTAGCGGTATCCCCAGAGCGAGTACTGACAAATCACCTATCGCCTAATTTCACTCATCGCTGAGATCAACAGCAAGCGCCTGTTAGCTGCTGGGATCCACAAACGGATAATGGTATATGAAGTAGCTGGAAATTCTTCCAAGTCGGTGAATACACATGATGATTTTCATCGGCTTTTCCCCCCTCAAACTAGGAGCCTACCAGCTCGTTACATTCGAAGGCCATACAAACAACGTTACTGCGGTGTCGTTTCATCCTGAAGGGAAATGGGTTGTGTCTGGTAGCGAGGATGGCACAATAAAGATATGGGATCTAAGGTGGGTCCCTGGTAGGCCGCTACCCGAGAAGTTGGCTTATCATGCTTCCAGGACATCGCACTTGTATCGAACATATGAAAATGGATCGCCAGGTCGACGAGAACAGCTCCGCCACTGTTACTTCGATGCTGATGAGCTGGCTCTTTTTTCTAGTGAATGATGTGGTCGTTCATCCGAACCAGGGCGAATTAATTTCCTGTGACCAAGCTGGCGTAATCAGACAATGGGATCTGGCGGAAAACTCATGTACACTGGAACTGGTATGTTATCCAGTTGAACTCTTGCCCGTCGTCCTGACTTTATCTGGGATCGAGGCACCTGCTGGGGATACCCCAATACGCTCTGTCAGTGTTGCATTCGATGGATCATGTCTGGTCGCCGGAAACAACAAGGTGTGCAAGTTTAATCTTGACTAACCTCTCAACTCAGATAGACCACATAGGGGAAAGTCTATGTCTGGAAGATCAATGACGATGCTTCTGGTCTCCCCCGCTTCCAAGCGGTGACGAAGTTTCAAGCACATAATAAATACCTCACAAGGTGTCTCCTGAGTCCCGATGTAAGGTCAGTCATCATCAAATGTCAACTTGCGTTTTCTCCTAACGCAGTATCCAGGCTTCTAGCAACATGTTCGGCTGATACAACAGTTAAGATATGGTCAATCGGCCCGACATTTGAATTCAAATTAGAGAAGACTTTGGTAGGACACCAAAGATGGGTATGGGATTGTGCCTTTAGTGCCGATTCTGCCTACCTTGTTACCGGTAAGATCACGGTAGGACCTTTCCTTGTGATAGCCATTAACTGCGTGCGCTCTTAGCGTCTTCGGATCACGTCGCTCGACTTTGGGAACTTGCTTCTGGAGAGACTGTCCGACAGTACAATGGACATCATAAGGCCTGCGTTTGCGTTGCCCTCAACGATGTGAATCTTGCATGAGACGAATTCGTACCTCACTTGGCTATGTTGTGACTTGTAGGGAGTATTTAATGACCAGGGTTTGTTTTTTTTTTCTAGCACTGTTGAGTCGTCATTTACGGACCTTGTAAGTCACCACTGGCGCCAACGTGGCTACAATTTTTACAATGCCTTCATCCGCCAAATCCTTCACGACACTCTCAATATCCTTGTAAGCTTCTGGAATCTCTTCAAACAGCAAATCTTTGTCTTCACATATGACCTTCCCGCCAAACCGGGTAGTCTCGAGGGAAGATGCATCGTGCCGTGACCGCTCTTGCGACTTCTTCCCTTTGGAAGGGCCAGGCGAGTATTTACGCGAGAAATCTGCGAGAGCTTTGGTTCGGGTGAGCTGGCGGCCCGCTCCGTGCGCCAGCGAGAATCCTGTCTAAGTCTAAGTGACTAGGATCAAGTGGACAGAAATGCAGCTTGAAAGCTAACCATTACGATGCTGCGGACCCGTGGGAAGTACAAGGAATGAGTATGCGCCACGGCTGCCTGGGATTATTACTGGGCCTCGATCACTTGGAGCAGCCCCTTTTCGGTGCACCCAAACATGGTTAGGTGCCAAGGGGCTCGTCGGATTGATATTTATACTTGTTGGAAACTCAGCAGGTGATATGATGGAAGGTGCCCAATCGGAATTTCGTTCGACATTGTTGTGCCAGATGTCCAGGACTTTCCGCCGTTTCAACTTGAAAGGAATGGATGACACACATTCCGAATCGGGGTCGATACCGCTTGTATGCGGGGGCAGAGGATTGTAAGTCTCATCGATGCGTTCGAGTATCCGGTGAGCAATCAAGTCTCGATTGCAACAAGCCCATCGGCAAGCATCATCATGCCGGGAAAGGTATGTGTCAAACTCCTCTGTCCCTTCCGCCAGAGGTGCACCTGTGTGAATTCCAGCAGAAGATAATGATGATTTAGTGGAGGCGAGGATACTTTGTCCCAGTCCTCGGGATCCGCTATGCACTAGCAAGAAGAGATTTGAAGTGAAATATTTGGTTTCAAGGGAAGACGGCACGTCTTTTCGATCACCCGGACGCAGTCGCTGTTCACGAAGACTAGAGGAAAGGGTAACGAATTCGTCGAAAGCGTCTTGATCCCAAATTTTTTCAACAACCTGAAGTTCAGCAAAGTGGTTCCCTCCTCCAATCGTTCCTAAACTCGAATTCCACGTTGAGTCGATGGATATCACCCCAGCCTCTCTTAACCACTCCTCGACAGTGCAGCCATTTCCTCCCTCCCAGGCACCTTCGATGTCCCTAATCTTGTTGGCAATCCAGCTTGGCTTTTCCCTGGCCTCACTTGCTGATATCCCAGTGACATACAGCCCCATTCCGCAGCCAATGTCGCCACCTATGAGCGCGGGTCTGATAGTTGAATGGTTTGTTATGACGATGGCGCCAATTGGGAACGTGGTTCCTGGGTGAAGATCTGGCATCCCGATAGTGGAGAGGACGCCTTGGAGCTTGGAGATCGCTTTGAGCTGTGCAATTGCGCTGGGATCTACATACGACTCATGGGCAAGTACGATGGCTTCTGATGGTATATCGGGTTGGTGCGACTCCGACGGATTAGTGGCAGGAAGCGATGAGGCCGATGGCGTCGATAGCGAGGCCAAGGCGGCAATTGGAGGTAGTGATTGGGCCGTCCCACCACCAACAAACGGCTCGCCTGATGATATTAGTATGGTACTTTTTGGAACGTCGTGGGTGAAATCTTGTGAGTACGAACGCCTAGACGACTCACCTGTCGGTGTCGAGGTCTAAGATGGACGACGATTCTGTTACCTGAGTCCCATCTGAGCGAAAGACTTTTGAGGGTTTTTTTATTCTCAGCTTTTTTTTCGCTGCATCTATGATGAAAGCCAGGGATCGCCAGAATTAGGCACAAGCACAACAGACCTGTTCTGTTGTTGGGAGTTCTGCACGATAGTGAGACGCTTTACTGAAGGCATAACTCAGACCCGTCGACGTGGATTGCTTGCCCTTCGATCTGACTCGTTTTCTGTGCTAGGGTCCGAGCAAAAGCAGGTACCCATTTACGGGGAAACAACTAAATATAAAATGGAGCGAGCAACTGTATTACGGGAGTGCCCTTTTGTATAACTATGTTCCTTAATGAATTTGAAAAAGATAGCTCCCGAGCGGCCTGTCAGGTACAGGACAATGATGCTTGCTCCTTCCAATGCACCACATCTAAGCACCTGTAGCTGAAGCTCAAATCCAGTAGTCCACATGACAACTTACGGAGACTCCAAACGCGTTTACTCCCTAGCCAGTGCGTCACAGCCTTCGTTCGTGTGTTTACATCCACCCTCATTCCGAAGCAGTCATTAAGGCCGGGGACGTCAAGAAAGCACCCCGAGCCCAGCGCTTTATGTCAGGCTCGTATTGTCGGGAAATAAACTTGATAAAACTGAGGCAAAACGGAACCCAACTTGGGGTCACACTTGTTCTCTGTAGGTTTTGCGATTAAGGGAGGTCTGGATAGTCCGCTAAAGTGCGTACCTTCAGGACAGCGGAGTTGTCTTCTGTTCTGTCCTTTCATCTCAAACACTCCCGCGAATGGTTCGGTCCCATCCTACTTGGTTCTGTGCACATCACAACGGAAAAGTTGCTAGATAGATGCAAAAATAACCAACGTGAGCTGGTTATCCTTAGTCTTGCCTCGTTGGGTGGTCTCATTTAAAACTGCTGCAGGGACTACCCTAACACTCCATGACGAACGGGGTCTAGAGGCAGGCTCGCTCATTGTTCAGTTGCTGGACACTACGAAGCGAGTTCCTCAACCCGCTATCGATTGCGCCGGCCAGGACCTACCTACGTCACTCGAGATTCCCGAGCAGGTTCGAGGTGCTACCGACTCAGCGGCTGCAGTTCGAGATCTAGGCAGCGCACTCAAACAAGTGGTCGACAAGACCAAGACTGTGGTGGATTTGGTCGATAAAACAGCCAAGGTATGCGTTGCTCTGCGGTAGCATATCTTTAGTTTGCGCTGACGCTGCTGAGTAGCTCCATCCTTACGCAAATATTGCTTGGCAGGTCTTGAGTTCGGCGTACCAAGTATGGATTCGTCATTATCATAGCGCAAACCCGTGCGCTGACAATTTCGAGCGGTTGTTTCAGGCTGTTCGAGGGCAGATAGAGAGAGACGACGCACTCTGCGGTCTTGTCGCGTCTATGGCTGACCTTTATTCGTTCGTCGATGCCGTTGATGAGCTAAAGAACAAAATTCAGCTCCTCGAAGCCAGCATTATCCGAATTTCTGTCCAAACGACGGAATGCGGAATTTTCATTAAGCAGTATGTGTCCCGTGGGCTCATAGGTAGGCCGCTCGTTGTCGGTTGTGTCGCTTAGTTCAGTGTGAACAATCAATGTGCCCAGGGCGACTCGCTCACCAAACATTCTCAAACACCTCCCAAACAATCTCGAACCTCTCGGGGGTGCTAACAAGGCTCAAGGAGGACCTTCATATGGGAGTAACATCTTACAGTGCATTCATCTCGGTCCAAATATCCAGGGGCGTGGAAAAACTTGGTGCGATGACTTCCACCTTCTGTGCACCGGACATTACTTACCTTCAGGGTTTGCAGTTGAAATCGAGGCATTGAAGCCTGCGACCATGGATGCGGGAGATCGAGATACATGCTTGCCTGGGACTCGAGTAGACATCTTGAAAAACCTCATCGATTCCCTGACAGATCCTAGCCTGCCTCCCGGTCATAATGTCATCTGGCTTCGTGGACCGGCTGGATCCGGCAAGAGTACCATACTCAACACGGTTGCTCAACACTTCTCAGAGCTGCGCCGACGTGGCGCTTTTCTGTTCTGGGACCGGAACGACCCTCTTAATGGTGAACCCCTTCGTGTGATACGTACTCTTGCCTTCCAGCTGGCTCGTTTCAATCCCACTTTTTCCGTGAAAATGGCCGAACAAATCGAAAAATTGCCCGACATTACTACATCCATCCTCGATATGCAATTCAAGCATCTTCTAGAGGCGCCTCTGGCCGAACTCGCAGCAGGGCTTGATTTAGGCCCTATTGTAATTGTCCTTGATGCCCTTGATGAGTGTGGTACTATGGAGACGAGGACAAAGCTCCTTCGCGCACTCTCTGAAGGCTTCCGAGTACCTTTCGGTTCCTGATAGCCAGCCGGGACGAACCCGACATTGGTGCTGCCCTGTCGCGTCTGGGTGTTGACGTGCGTGACGTGCCGATCGGGGATGAGTTGACATCATCTGACATCAAGCTCCTTTTCCAACAACGGCTTGCCTGCAGCGCTGATGCCTTCGTAGGCCATGGTTTGTCATCCAATTGGCCAGGAGACCCCGTAATACGGCAGCTTGTCGCTCTGTCCGGAGGTCTTTTCATTTGGGCATCTACAACCATTCGCTTCCTTGAATCCGGCTTTCCTGAAGAAAGGCTGAAAAAGGTGCTAAGTGCATCAGTACAGGCCCCATCTCATGCTGGGTTGGACAATTTGTATCGGGTCGCTCTTACTCATCCATTCGACTCATACGACGAAAACGAACTCAAAGCTGTACATTCCATCCTCGGTGCAATAGTAGTCGCTCGTGAGCAGCTAACAGATTGGCAGCTCAGTCAGCTACTAGGACTGGAGTTAGGTAAGGTCCAGGTGGTGCTCTCGCGGTTGCAATCGCTGTTGCAGGGTGGTCGCGGGCGTCCTGTTCAAGTCTTACATACATCCTTTACCGATTTTCTGTGCGACTCCAAACGGTGTCAAGATCCGCAATGGCACATAAACACACCTGTTCATCACCTTGATCTTGCATCTGGCTGTCTCCAGGTGATGAAACGAGATCTCAAATTTAACATCTGCGGGATCGAGACGTCCTATTACCGGAACAGGGAAATCGAGGGAATTCAACAGCGAATCGATCGGGCCATAACGCCTGCGCTGACGTATGCAAGCGAATACTGGGCAGACCATTTGGATTTTGGATCTATGTCAGAGCCAGGTCCGCATCCCCTTGTCGATGCGGTTATGAACTTCAATCGCCAGTTCCTGTACTGGATTGAGGTATTCAGTGTGAAGGACCGCATGTTTATGATACCCTCTATTCTAAGGAAGGCGGCTAGTTGGGCTAAGGTAGGCCACTTTTCTCGTGTGCAATGGGAACGAGTGATTGATTTACTTACATAGAATTACGAGCGGGGACTCGAAGAAATCATCTCAGAGGCATATACATTTGTGAACGTCTTCGGGTATCCAATCGGTCAGAGCGTGCCACACATCTATCTCTCAGCTTTGCCGTTTTCACCTTCTCAGTCTGCTGTTCTACAATGTATGCGCAATGCATTCCAGAATACTTTGTCTGTTCAATCAGGGCTTCCCAAGCGATGGCCTGTGATTCGTCAGACACTTAGAGGACACTCTGGCTTCGTCCTGTCACTCGCATTCTCTCCCGACAGCACCCGCATCATCTCAGGCTCTTTTGACAAGACAGTCCGGATTTGGGATGCTGTGTCAGGTGCACCAATCGGCGAGCCTCTGCGGGGGCACTTTGGTTGGGTCCACTCGGTTACATTCTCTCCCAATAGCACCTACATCATCTCAGGCTCTGAGGACAGGACGGTTCGAATTTGGGATACTGTGTCAGGTGTGCCAGTCGGCGAGCCTCTGCAAGGGCACTCTAGCTGGGTCCACTCGGTTGCATTCTCTCCCGATGGCACCCGCATCATCTCAGGTTCTTCCGATAACACAATTCGAATTTGGGATTCCGCATCAGGTGCTCCAATGGGCGAGCCTCTACAAGGGCACTCTGGTTGGGTCCAGTCAGTTGCATTCTCTCCCAATAGCACTCACATAATCTCAGGCTCTTCCGACAATACGGTTCAAATTTGGGATGCCGTGTCAGGTGCACCAATCGGCAAGCCACTGCGAGGGCACTCTGGTGCGGTCTGGTCGGTTGCATTTTCTCCTGACGGCACCCGCGTCGTCTCAGGCTCTGAAGACGAGACGGTTCGAATATGGGACGCTGTGTCAGGTGCACCAATCGGCGAGCCTCTGCAAGGGCACCCCGGTTGGGTCCACTCAGTTGCGTTCTCTCCCGATGGCACCTGCATCATCTCGAGCTCTTCTGACAAGACAGTTCAAATTTGGGACGCTGTGTCAGGTACACCAATTGGCGAGCCTCTGCAAGACTACTCTCGCTGGGTTCACTCGATGGCATTCTCGCCTGATGGCAACTACATCGTCTCAGGCTCTTCCGACGACAGCACCCGCATCCTCCCAGTCACCCCTGATAACACAGTTCGAATTTGGGATGTTGCATCAGGTGCGCCCATCGGCAAGCCTCTGCAGGGGCACACTGCTGCGATCCGGTCGGTTGCATTGTTTCCCGATGGCATTCGCATCGTCTCAAGCTCTGAAGACGAGACAATTCGAATTTGGAACGCCATGTCAGGTGCGACAATTGGCGAGCCTCTGCAAGGGCATTCCGGAAAGGTCTGGTCGGTTGCATTCTCTCCCAACGGCACCTGGATCATCTCGGGCTCATCCGACAAGACAATTCGAATTTGGGATGCAGTGTCAGGTGCACCAATCGGCAGGCCTCTGCAAGGGCACTCTCACACTGTCCGGTCGGTTGCATTCTCCCCTGATGGCACTCGCATCGTCTCGGGCTCTGGTGACAAGACAGTTCGGATTTGGAATGCCGTGTCAGGTGCACCAATCGGCGAGCCACTGCAAGGGCACTCTGCTGAAGTCTGCTCAGTTGCTGTCATGACCATGCATTCCGGCCCGTTAGCCGCCCATCCCGATGCTGCCCGAGCCTATTCCTGCTGTGCGAGCGCGAGCGCGAGCCCCGACCTCAGCCCTATCCTCCCTGAGGGCTCCCTGCTCACTCCCCCACTTGCCCCTAGGCTCCCCTACACTTGGCCGACTCCCCCACAGCCACACCGACCTCCCTGCCCCGAGTCCGCCTCTGGCACTGACCTAGCGTGACTCTGCGACATCGCCTACTCCACTACAATACCATTGCCGCTATCACGGCCCTACACCCCTTCGTTTATTTATCTGTTATTGTTTGTTTTGACCCTCGGTCATTGCCGGCCGCTGTGCGGCCAACCCCGCTCTTTGTTCCTATTTGCTTCCGGACCCTTCGGCCTTCGGCCCGGGTCCACTTCTATTCATTCTATCTTCATATATATATCCTGTATACTACATTATAGTACCTTAGCTCTAATATCGATGTGACCATGACCCCTAAGTCCTGACCCCAACAAGGCAACCCCAGTGAGTCTGAAATGAGGGCCAAGAGACAGCTAGGGGGCACAGCACTCCCTTTAGAGTTGCTGAGGCCAAATGCCCTACCCTTGGGCCTTGTTTGAGGCATCGCGGCCATTGCAGCCAATAGTGGCCCACATTGGTGTCAGGGGACGACTCCCGGGTCCCCATGACCCTCCCCTATGGTCCACAGCCTGACCTATGAACAGCCCTATCCAGGGCAACAACTCTACTGTGGGTAAGGAGATGAGAAGGAAGCTAACTTCTCATCTTCCCACAGTGGCCACAATATCAGCAAAACTTCCGGGGATACCCGGAAGTCACATGAAGGGGTAGAAACCGGGTCCGGAGCATGCGGTGCGCGGAGCGTGCGTGCATGTGGGAAGCGCAGCGGGTGGAAGCGGGTCCGGAAGCGGGTCCGGGTCCGGGCTAGTCAGGGTGTGTGCCCTGACAATTGGTGACCTTTGGTGCCGACCCCGGACCAGTGTCTAACAGTTGCATTCTCTCCCAACGGCACCTATATCACCTCAGGCTCCTTCGACAAGACAGTTCGGATTTGGGATGTCATGTCAGGTGCTCCAATCAGTGTTAGAGATGTGTCGCGGATTCAGATGACTCCGGAGTGGAATTGGAGACTTAGCATGGAGGGACCTTGGCCTCAGCGACTCAAGCGGAGCGCTGTGCCATTGCTGTTTGTCCATTTGGTCCTTAATTTCACAGTAGGCGAGCAGGAAGTCTCTAGGGGGGCATTTCAGGTCAATTTCGGACTGAGCCCAAAATGAGTATGTACAAGCGCCGATATATATAATGGAGGGGGCAAAAGCGCAAGGAAACAAAGGGGATCCGAATCGGAACGAAGATGTCTGAATGGGAACAAAGGGTAGACAGTGTCAGGGACAGCTCCGAAAGCGGCGAGGTCCCGGCGTGTGGGACTTGGTGGGACGGATAGCGGCTATGCGTAGCGGCGATCCTGTCGTGGGGTGAGCATCCCTGACCACTTAGTCTGAAGTGGAAATGTGAGTCATCATTAAAAGGGAAGGCTACACTACTTGCCTGAAGTGGAAATGTGAGAAGAAGGCTACTTCTTTGGTTCCCACTCCAGCTGTTATTATATACATGCGGGAATGATCACGTGGGGTGCACCACATCACCCTTGCACACAGCCACGGCTCTCTGGGTGCTTCCACAGAAGATCCCGAGAGGGCCCGCTGTGGGTGCAAGGCGAGTGCGGCGGCGGTGGCGGCGGTATAGGGATGTAAGATACAGGAGGGGAGATGGGCGTGTGCGCCGGTGATACATTGAGCAGCGGGAAAAGGTGGTCCTTGTAAGAGAAAGAGAGAAAGAGAGAAAGAAAGAAGGGAGGAAAGGAGAACAGGAGAAAGGAAGAGGGAGAGGAGGGAGAGGCGGTGCAGAGCGGGGATCGGGTGGGGCGTGTTGGGGCGTGCCCTGACAGACAGAAGCGGAGCAGTACCGAAGGTCATAAGGCAGGACCTGTGATACGTCCGAAAGGAGGTAGGGGGGGCGAGGCCCAGAGGGGCAGGAGGATGAGGAGAAGTGGGGATGATGACTAACTGGCTAGATGTCAGGGCACGCTGCCGCCGCCGCCGCCACCTCCTTTTCCTTTTGTCTCATTCCCTCATTCTCTCTTCTTTCCTTCTTCTCTTTTTCTATCTTTATACAGACGACCTCTCTTTCTTTCCTACCCTTGTAGCACGGATGCATCCGACGCTGAGCACCCCGTAGGGGCGCCGCAACGCCGGATGCGCCGCACACTTCTACTTGTACTTCCCCTCCAACACTCGGGATCGACCACGGAACCACCCACGGTAACCCGGCTTCGTCCGAGGGTGATGTGGCAACCCCACGTGACCCATTCACACATGTATATAAACTAAGCCGAAGCAGGACCGAAGAAGTAACCTTCTTCTCATTTCCCGCTTCAGGCAAGTACCCTAGTTTAGTCTGGCTTCCCACCCTAATAACAATACATTTCCCGCTTCAGCCTAAGAAGCCACACAGGGATGTAAGCCTGAGTAAGGGCTATCCACTATACAGTCTCACCGCCCCGCCGCCATCTGGGCTGCTAGCACCGAGCGTTACGCCGCTACCTCTGCCTTCCTCGAGCCGTCCCTGACACTAGAATGGGAAGAAGCAGCAGTCCAAATAGGGATGAGGGGAAAACGCGAGAGATACATTACAAGCGGCGAAAGTGCCGAAGGCGATCTGCGAAGCTCGGAGGTTGCGGAGCTTACGGAGGTTATGGAGGCAGGGTTGAAAGTCCGAGGAATATTGGCAATGGTGTTTATGTAGTATGAGGTCACCAATGCAATGGACTAAGACCGAGGTGGAGTCAAAG